CTGTTGCCACAACATTTATCAGTGACAATTTATCTCGTCACCATATAAAGAAGGGCGTAAAAACTTATACGGTTATTTTTCTTGTTATATCAAACCATGTAGTCCAGGCGATAGAGCAATAAAAGTAGGCTTTGGCGTTTGTGTTTGAATTCATTTATTTTGCTGTACAGAAAAATCCCAAATATTATGTAGAAAAAGAATCCGAGTTTGCCTATTCCAAAAAAACCATTGCTAAATTCAGGTGAACAACAAACATACAAAATGAACGAAAAATTGCCCGTTTTTCGACATATTTTTTTCTGTAACATTGAAAGTAAGCCCTAAATCAAAGTCATTCTATATTTTGTGTTTATTTGATAATATTTGGGATTTTTCTGTACAACAAAATAGAATGACTTCAAATACAAACGCCTCGAATGCTCTACTGCCTGGATTAATATGACAAAAAAAATTATAAATGAACTAATATAACTCAACAAAAATACCCACATACTGAGAACTGCTGGGGTCGAGAGCGAATAATACTTTAACATTTATTTTTACCATTTTTAATTTTGACAGTTGTTTATAACGAGCGTTCAAATAAAAACGTGGTCGAAGTTGGCTCTGACACATTGGACGTAGGGAGTAGCTTATAGCAACCAACTTAACCTCATTTCACAACGAGCTGTATAGCAGCTGTCAGTTTCAATAACGTTAATGACTATATAACTTTATTTTAAAGAATAATCGTGATAACAATAACAAACAATCCTTGTTCCAAGCACTTTTCACACCTGCTCGGGGTATTGTTTATTTCACGAATCTTGTCTATAAGTCGAGCCTGCAGATGGTTTAAATCAGGAATAGGCAGTTCAAAAATAGTGTTTTTAAGGTAAGGCCACAAAAAGAAATCACACGGCGTAATATCACATGACCTCGGTGGAAATTCATGTTCAGCATTGAGACTTATTAGTCGATTTTGGAAAACTTCCCTCAACATCGTCTGGCCTGCCGTATGTGCCCTTGCGCCATCTTGTTGAAAGTAAAAGTTTGTAATTTCGTTTTCTTCCAGCTGCTTAACAAAAGGAGCGATAATTTCTTCCCTATACCTTTGCGCAATAAGAGTACCATTAAAAAAAAATAGGTCCATAAGTCCTCCTTCGATTGAGAGCACACCAAACTCCAAAAGTTATCTGGTTTTTCAGAAGACCACATCTCATATTCTTACTTAAATGAAACCAGGCTTCATCAGAAAAAAAGGTGATATTATGAAGTTCACCGTAGTTGTTTAAAAACCATTCACAAAATATAGCCCGTCGCGGAAAATCAACTTCATGAAGTTCTTGCTGACAAGTTAAACGATAGGAGAACAAACGCAAATCTTTTTTTAACTGTGTGGCAGGTACAGACTGATACTCCCACCATTTGTGATCAAACACGTACAGAAGTTCTTGGCGCATTTTCCATTATTTGTTGGACATTTTCTTTTAATTCTTCAGTCCGCTTTTTAGGTCGGCCGCTTCCTTCTTTTCTTGTTACACTGCCCGTTTCACGAAAAACATTAACACAACGCTGAACTGCACTTTGAAAAATTTTGTACTCAACAACACCGGGAAATTGATTTTGAAATTCTATGAAACATTCCTCAATAGAATACTTCCATATTCAATCAATCTTGCGTCCATTTCTAAAGTAGGACTCTATGATAAACACTTTTTGTTCTTGAGAAAACACCATTTTAAACGCTTTTTAAAACGAAAATATTCAAATTGATAGCGGCGATATAGCGCTTTGACAGATGACGTTTAAGTTCATTTGCTATACGCTACGCCCTACGTCCAAATTTTCAGAACCAACTTGACCACGTTTTTATTTGAACGCTCGTTACATATAAACTCTAATTAAATGGGTATTGTACCAATGGATGATTGATAGATGGCGTACCTACTGGAAAATGTGTAACTAAATAAGAATGAGCTGCACTTATCCACTACGCCATCTACCAATCATCCACAATCCGCTTCTTTGACTTATCTCCCGTTAAAAATAATCCTCAAAGTTCGTAAACACGCATAGAAGTAAAGGATATTCTTATTGTTACGGATTCCGTTCGTAGCTTCGCTTCTGCCTTTGTAGCGTAGATAATCAGGTGTCTGTTTTCTTTCTGCATTTGCGGGTATTCCGCCGCCACATCCTGTAACCGGCGTGTTTTCCGCAAGATTTATCGGCGCGCGAAGCCTGAAAAAAACCTGTAAATAAACAGAAGGTAATTTAGCGGTATACTGCAAAAAGTAAAAAGCGAGCAGCGCATTTTTCATGGAGACGAAGTGACATTCTCAGACGATATAATTGCGTCCAGTTTTACAAATCAAAGGACATATTTTCTGCGATGCGCCTCACGACTTTATATTATATTTCTATCCGTATAAACGGGTTCTTATAGATTTCCTTTACACTTTTTGTGAGGGTATCGAGTCAATAATAATAACTAATTACAGAGCAGACAGGCGACAGGTCGTGTTCTCTTGAGTGGCGACGTCCACAATTGAGTGAATGTCGACGATGGGTAATGGTGCGTTTAGATCGGACACTTGTGTCCGACACATATCAAGAGTGTCTGGTTCAAAACTTCTACAATACTATACGTCTCAAATGTGCTAACTCCTCATTTTGAATAGGAATTGCAAAAAAATGGGAAGCTAAAAGTTTTGAAAGAAAAAATAATAGAAGCATGTTAATCTCAGTGTTAATGATATCTGTTATTGTTGATATTGTTAATTTAAGTATGAGGTTACACATGTTTAACCCTGTTGTTATTATTAAAATCCTTCTGAGTGTACCATTCCGTTATATTCTTCAGTGGTTTGGAACTGCAAGTCATCATCAAATAAAATCACTTCGAGAACCACATACAAAAATATAATGAAGCCATGTACAAAAACAAAAAACGCGTGATCCCTGCCGGAATAAGGTGGATTTTAATTTAAATTCCATTGGGTAAATATGTGGCGTTTCAAAAGTTTCGAAAAGAATGGATTTTTTGGAGATCGGTTCGATGATCCTGAATAAACACACGTTTAATTTCATGGTTAACGAGACACGGCAGCATGGGAGTTTTATTATTAACGTAAATTAAATCGTTTTTTTTTTTTTGGAAAAAACAGTTGATTTAAATTTATGAAACCACTAGTTTAATACTCAGATGTTTTTTTTAAGAAAAATTAAATATGAAATTAAATTTTAATACAAATTTAATTATTAAAAAGATTCCATTTGGTTGTTTTAATGATTAATTTTTTTCATCTCCGAAAAAGGCAAAGAAGAAGCTATTTTTGGTAGCATTTTGATATTTTTTGTCACTTATAATTTAATTTTCGTTTTTCTGAAGTGACAGAAATATGTTCCAACATCCTTTCGAATTACCCCGTATAAGATCGATTATGTAAGATGTGTTCTAGCAGGTAAATAAATTAAATGTTTGTATGGAAATACGGGTGGATAGAATTTCCTTGTTTTCATCACTTCTCGATGTGAAATAGTTCGGAATACCTACGTAGATCAGTCCCACATATTCCTTAATAAGTTCACGTTATTTATAGTATAACCATTTTAAACAAATATGTGTTAAATACACCGCGAGACAAAAAATATGGACGTAACAAGATTTTGATGTTCGCTGGAAGAAATAGGAGAACAAATCAAATTCGAAATTGTTAGTAGAACGAAAACCTACGACCGATTAAAAGGGAAAGAATATTTTAAACATTTTCACTTTCGTCGGTTGCAAGGCGACATGTCCCGTTTTATTGCTGCTGGTGTAAGTGTACGTGAGCTTACAAGGAGTTTGGGCGGAATCAGAACTTTACTTTCAACTTTTCCTACGCACGTTCGCTACAATTTCTTTAATGAATTGAGCTCGAGGAGCGAGTTTTAAAATAGTAAATATTAAGCCTACGTTGAGAACAATTTTGAAACGTTAGTGGCGATCGGGAATCAGTTTTAAGTTGATTAGTTTAGATGATTTTGTAAGTATTCCTCGATTAACTTTTAATAAGAAAATTCACATAGTCGATTATTTTTTTATGGTAATTATTAGGTAATTTTTCCAGAAATTGTGAAAAACTACGTTAAGCTCGTATAATAGTAGAAAAAAAAAGGAAGAGCTAGGACATAATATAATTTTTTGTACATTAATTATATTCATATCGTACAGTATAAGGCAAATTGTCCACATTTGAAAATGGAAATTTGAAATAAAATGTTTGTTGTCACTTTTGAATCAGACGTTTTGAATTTATCGCCATCTGTTGGTTCAGATAGGTATTTCACGAATTGTTTTCAATTTTCATAGCTTATAATTCTTATAGCATGAAATTCAAACAAGGGTATATTAGGAAGATGAAATTATCATTTATTTAGTAGGAAAAATGCTAGACCTCCCAGCTAAAACGTCGATTTTACATCCTGCATCCTGTTTCAAATAATGCGTATTGATTTCGTGTATACGTCATTTCCTTGATCACAAATCAAAATTAACGGCAAAGGGCTTTCGTAATATGAGTAGGGTGTCTCACATAATAGGTAATAGTATACTGATACTAAAATGAAGTACTCGACTCTATCTAACCAAGAAATCGCTGGTAAAAGTAACCCTTTCAGGAAACACTACTACTACTTTACGCAAACATCGCATCGGATATGCTTATACAATACCTGAGTTGAATTGGATCGACTTCCGGTTGTTTTGCGGAGATTATTAAAAACGATTAAACATTACTGCCATAGACTGCCTACCTTTTAGAAGGTTATTTATACTGAAAAAAGGTAGTAGAAACATTGGCTTTGTTTTTGCATCGCGAGATGGCGCCTCGTTACATATTTTGAAACGTGTGTGACGATTTAAAATTTCACAATTAATGTCGCATATTACTGTTAATTTAATAATTTATATTATTTTTGTGTAATAATAAATAATTAACAAAACATAAACTAAATTTATTTATTCTTTCTTTTTATAGGCATGCAGCAATATGGAAGGCACCCATGTGTTTGGCACTATTTTAATAGCATCTGTGGTAGTTTTCGATTTGGTGCAGTCAGGTGAGTCGAAATATTTTTCTAACAATAGTTACTGTACTAAGTGATCATAACTACTATTCCGATTTAAAAATACTGTTGTCCATTTGCTTATTTTTAAATATTTATAAATTCTTGCTGCGGAATTTTCAACTAAACTTTACGATATGCGCTTTTTTCAGACTTCGAATATATGGTGACCAATCCAGAGCCGATATCAGTGTCGTTCGGTTTTGACACGCTTTTAACATGCGAAATGAACATAGAACCTGATAGGTTCCAATGGAAGTTTTATCCTACAGATGAACCATACAGTTTAAATAATGCTATTAATTTAAGTAACGCAACATTCCATCTAATTCCAGAGGAAAAGTACACTAAACAGAGAAAAAAGTCTTCATTAACGGTGCAAGTAAGTTTATTTGTATTTGTAGCTGTGACAGTTAACTTAAAATTTATAATAAAAGAAGTTGAAGTTCAGCAACTTCTTGGTATGTATATTGTTTCACTAATTTCAGGTAAACAGCACAAAAGCGGCAGGAGACTATCAGTGCCTCGCCTACTACGGGGCATACGTGGTGGCTTCGGTACCATGGCTGTTAAGGATAGCAACCCTTAAGCCATTTCCCAAACAAGACTCTAAGGACATTACCACCACCGCGGGCAATACAGTTTTGTGGAGGTGCATCCCGCCTGAATCGAATCCAGAACCATATATAGATTATTACAAAAGCGATCAATATGTCGCTTCTTCAAACCCAAAAATTCAGTCGGAATCACTTGTTCTTCCTAACGTGACTGTCGATAAATCAGGCGTGTACAAGTGTAGTGCGAGTAATACTCTGGAAACTGTGAATTCAGACACGTCTTTGAGTCTGAAGGTGGTTAAGAATGCTCCTACCAGATCGCCGTATTTTATCACCGAGCCTAAGAGTAAATATGTTTCGTTAAAAGGTTAGTCATGGAATTATATATGCCCTATATTTTTAAACAGTTTCAATTGTCTTATGAACTTATATATTTGCTTGCATTTTTTATAGTAACTTCATTTTTTTTACCTTGCATTACTATTTTGTACTTGGCGTCACTGGGAGATGTAACTTTGCGAAAAATATTAATACTGTGTGAACAATTTATTGTGAATAACCATTTTTATTCTTTAAACAGGCGATAAAGTTTTCCTAGAGTGCTCAGCCATTGGTAACCCAGTTCCTAAAGTAGTGTGGTTTAAAAAAAACGGACGGCTGCCCGACAAGCGTTCGGAAATGCTCGATGGAGGTCTAAGCATCGTTAATATCACTTCCTCGGACGATGGCGTCTACGTTTGCAGTTACTCAAACAGTTACGGGTCCATTTCTCATCACATCACGTTGGTGTACAACGAAGAACCAGCCATAGACTGCCTTATGAACAGCACAGACGTCAAACAGGGAGAAAACATAGATTTAAACTGCATTATCTCAGGGGTTCCAGAACCGTACGTTTCGTGGTTCATCAATGGATTCTCCGTAAGCAACGACACTGCCGTAGAAGCCGTAGGCAATAAGATTTACTTCAGACCGGTAGAGAAACGACACGCGGGGAATCTCCAGGTATTCGCCAGGAATAAAGTGAGAACCGTGTACACCAGCATCATCATCAGAGTAATTCCCTTAACGTCAAGCGTGGATTTAACCGTAACGCCAGAGCATACGCATCGGAGGCACGGCGGGAGGACCAGCTCGACGAGAAAACCGTTTAAACACGGTAAAGTCCCCAAACTGGTGCCCCCAAGTAAACCGATAATCTCGAGACTGAACGACCAGGCGGTCGTTGTACGTTGGAGCGTACCTAACAACAACGGCCTGCCCATTAGTTTCTTCAAGGTGCAGTATCGGGAAATAGGCCCGGCGAACTCAAACGACCTCCATACGAGGAATAAGGGATCGAAATGGAAGACGACTAATGCCGATATAGCTCCGAATATTCAAGTCTACGACGTGACGAATTTAAAGGCCGATCATATATACAAGTTTAGGATAGCGGCGGTGTATAGCAATAACGATAACAAGCTTAGCCCGAACTCGGACAAATTTCATTTACGAATGCTGGATTTTGATACGAAGAACCCCCTGCCGATACCCATTATTACACACACAGAGGTCGTTAACGCAACGTCTGTTAAAATATACTGGGAGGTGTGTATGAAATTGGAGAAGTTTAATTTGTTTTAAACGCGTTTTTTTTGTAGTGTTCTAAATCGGCCAACGTAAGTGTGGATGGCTTCTACATTAGTTACATGTCGGCCAGTACGGCGGGCGATTACATGAAAGCAACCGTGGACGGGGAAAACACCAGGGAGTACGTGATCACTCATCTCCAGCCCGATACGATCTACGACATCAAATTGCAAAGCTTTAATTCGAAGTTTGCCAGCGATTTCAGCCCCATCATGAAAGCAAGGACAGGCAGTATGTATAATAACGATATTCCGATATCCAAATTAGCGGTAACGTCACAAAATAGTTTTTTGCGCTCTCTTTTCGTTAAAAAATCAAAATAAAACTTTTTATTCATACTAATTGACCTTTTCAGCCAACCAGTCGTCGATGACGACGACGACTCATTCCCCGATAGTTGCGGCCGAACAAAAAGAGGCTGGCTTCGGAAATTTGTACGTAATAATAATCGGAGCTGTAGGCGGATGCGTCTTACTGATATGCGGGATCGTTTCTATAATTATATGTAGGAAGTGGAAGAAAAACAAATCAGGTAATGATCGATTTTTAAAGTAACACCTTCCGTTCACACTTTATCCTGCTATTAATCCAACGTATGTAGATAATCGGGACAAATCCACCGTCGAAGATCGTCACGTGGCCGAGGGAAACGAGTACGTCGAGTACGGGCAGAAATCTAGGGCGAACGGATGCGTTCTGCCGAGCAACAGAATAACCATTACTCCTAATCCTTTGGCGGAGGCCGACAACAAGGTGAGGTACATATTTATTCATAAGTTCGTGCCATTCAAGTTTTGCGTTTTGTTCATGAAATAATTTTTACAGAGACGCAAAGATATAGATCTATGCAAACGCACCAAAGAAAGGTACTTTTATCTAATATGCACCCGTAACGCGCGAAAAGTGTTTCTAATAATTTGAGTTGCAGCACAAGCGGCTCAAAAAGTGTGTGTCGTAATGTTTTCAGCATGATGTTATTTTTTTAATTTGCACCATACTTAATTATTCACATATGCGTACACGATTATATTTATTTTTTTTTATGTGGGAATTGTTCTTAAATTTGTATTTTCTTTATAGTATTACAGTCCGACTTATAGACGTATACTAATATTGAGATAAAAATAAATTACAGCAATTTTTCTTTGAATGATGACTGGAAATGTGTGATACTTGTGTTATTATTTTTTTATCTTATTTTTAAATTTATGTATATGTATAGCAGAGGGGGATATAATGAGTATTAGGTGTTCCAAAAGTCTTGATGAAGTAAATACCCAAATGTAATATCTGAATATAGTGTAATAAACTAGAATATTTCAACGTTACGCAAAAGTGTAATATTCGACGGTGAAAGTTAATTTATTTCACTCTCTCTTTAAGCCCATCAGCGCCATTTGAACTTCTGAAAAAACAAACGTGCCGTACCACCACTAGACACCGAAATAGATAACTGCAAGGTTATAAATTTATACTACAGGAAACACTTTACTAAATACCACTTTTATACAAGTTCTATTTAGATTCCAATACTTCCAATAGGGAGCGAAGAAATTACAGTATTACAAACACCTTCTCAATAAACTGAAACCTAAAATAAATGTGGTATATTCGGTCACTCTCTTTTGCTGAATTAGCTTTAGTTTTGTGTTGTCTGAACGTTTAGTGCTCTGTTGTCATATCACATCAGGTGGATCGATATCTTGTAGTTCAACTTCAACTATAGTAGGATCATATTCGATGCAAAGTAATAAATCATTGTTTGTCAAGGGATCCAATGCAGTACGCTTTTAAGGGTTTTAGAAATTAAATAATTTCTTTATACGCTATGAAGGAACGAGGGGATCAGGTCACGTCTGGCACCCTTGTTCCTACAAAAATTCCTTTATTCTCATAAACTATTTATTTTAAATGTAATTTATTATAAATCCAATTTGTTTTTTAAATTCCACATATGTACTACATTTTACTTCTGTACGCGCCACTGTTGTTTACTTGTTTTTTGAAGGCGCCCTCTGATTTACAACCAAGCTCGCCAGGTTAGTATTTGACGCATAACCGACCACTTCGTACACTCGATGCACCTGGGCGACTATAGCTACTAACAGAACACAGTGCGTATGCAGCGGTATTTCAGATTTTACATTGAATTTCATTTTAAATTTGAAATGGTTCATCTTACGCCTCCTAAAAATGATGACACGATTTTCCTTTGATAAAAGACCGACAACTTTTTGCTCTACTTTGCATCGAATACGATCCTACTATAGGCCATTTCCAAAGATCTTTGAGACAGATTCACAAACTGAATAAAATTTATTAAGAAAAAATTCAAATACAAATAGTTCTTTTAAAAGCAAATCTTAATAGTCCAAGTCTTAATAATATACAGGGTGTTCCTAAATAAGTGTCGCAACGGAAACATGTAAATTCCTCTTGAAAAAAGAAACATTTATTTCCTCTTCCATTTTTTTCTCTGGGCTTGTGTTTTCGAGATATACGGTGTTAAAACTTTAATTTTTTTTTTAGTTTTTTGCCAATATCTTAGGAACCCTTTGAACTACTGAGCTTTTGTACACATATTACCATTATTAATGGCTACTTTTTACGCACCCTTCTCGAATTCATTGGACGTGCCAGTGGTGGAGATTTTAAGGTATCGTAAGGGTTTTTTCCCCCTAACTTTTACGCCACTGGAAAAATTGACATGACAGCAAATTCTGAAGCGCCAACGAATTTTTCACAAAATGAGTTCTCTTGGTTCATGGCTCTAAAGTCAACCGTTTTCAAGAAAAATGACTTTATGAACAATAACGAATATTTAATGTATGTATTGAAGTTCGCGAACATATTTTGTAAATGTTACTCGCCAAATTGATAAAAAAAAAAGTTAAAATCCTATCTGTTGTTAAATTTCGTTAAAATTGTTAATTATTACTACCTATTTTTTGAATTACAAAAGATTTTCGAAACGTTAGCAAAATGTTTGTTTTTGTCCATAAAAAATCATTTTTCTTGAAAACGGTTGACTTTAGAGCAGTGAACCAAGAGAACTCTTCATGTGTAAAATTCGTTGGCGCTTCAGAGTTTGCTGTCAAAAGTCAATTTATCCAGTGGCGTAAAAGTTAGGGGAGAAAATCCTTACGATACCTTAAAATCCCCACCAATGAATTCGAGAAGGCAACTGTTTTAAAAACAGTCGAAATATTAATGTTCAGCACTTTGACAAAAAAAAATAATACCAAATTTCTCTTGAATATCTCTGTTAGTTTTGGAATTATATTAAATAGATTTTAGTTTTGAAAACTTTACTACCCTGTTTCGAAAAGGGAACATTTTGAAAAAACGTTCTAACTCAATTTATTTTAAAAAGTACTATCATATACTTTCAGTTTAACTTAAGAACGAAAATACTAGATGGCGACTCTCCCATAACTTCCCTGCCGCCCTAGATCATGGCTTAAGAGAGAGAGGGCTCTCTAGTAAATAGGCAACCAGTAATACATTTTTATAGATTTTACTACACAGTTTATCTAAAAATGAATTAATGCACAAATAACTGACTTTCCTCCATTCTAACGCAAATTTTCTATAAAATGGAATTAGTTTGAAACTCAAATTACTCTTTGGTGTAAAGAAATTTGTAATTTGCATCGTAAATTACAAATTTCTTCACAATAAAAAGTAATTTGAGATTTAAACAAAATTCATTTTGTAGAAAATCTGCGTTAGAATGGAGGAAAGTCTGTTATTTGTGCATTAATTCATATTTAGACAAATTGTGTAATAAAATCTATAAAAATGTATCGCTGGTTGCCTATTTGCTATAGCTCTTAAATAAGTATAAAGGAATTTCATGCGAGAATCGCTATCGGCTATTTTTATTTCTAAGTTTGACCAGTTGTTTAAAAGTGCAGTCAATCAGCAAATTTGTCTTCAAGCTTTTGCTTTAGCTTTAAAAAGTTAAAAGTACGGAAGATGGTTAACATTTGGTACATTTTTAAAATTAGATATTCCAATTATTCCATATTTGATTTACCTAAATGAGCCCTAACTATTATGTATAAACAAGCACTAAAGTTGGCGCAAATCGATTTCCTATATTCAGTTATTTTTGGGATATTTACTTACGATTTTGGGGCGCCGGTACACGTAATCTGTTTATTCCATTGTCTCTCATTTAGTTTGTTGTTTCACTTCATAAGCTCAGCATCTCTCTGAAAACGCATAGGCTCTCACCAGTTCTTGCTTTGAGACGTATAGAGGCTGACGTGCATGTTTGTCGCAATTTCGAAAGCAAAATAGTCGTATTCTCTGTCGCAAGCGCACACCCTTGTTGGCTTCACAACTAACTACTAATAGCCTATTTTGTGTATTGCTTTTTTTTTATTTTATTTTTTATTACTCACAACTAAACCTAGGTTAATTTCATCTTATTTCCAGAAATTTCTAGCTCGGTTGTTTTCCAGAATCAGAACATGATTGAGATGTCGCGTTTGACAGCGCAGAATAACAACTGTGCGACCGTTCATCAAGAATCCTCGTCCGGATCGTCCGCCCGCGAAGAGTCTCCCTCGGACTCGAAAGAGAAGTGTAACACGAAGAATCCCGAGCTGTACACGGATAAAAGCAAGCGTAGCAAGGTTTCTCTGGAAAATGTCTCGTCTGGAGAGAATTATGTGTAGCGTGCGATGTTGAGGACGTTGTTGAGCGATTCTGACTTTTTGCGTGATCGTTCCAGTGATATTTTCCATTTGAAGACTGCGGTTAGTTTTTAGTTCTCTTTAATAGCATTCAATATCCCTTTGACATTCTTCCCGATTTTTTTTCCTCGATCTAGAATCGGACGATTAGTTGAAGCAATTAGATGGGGAAGGTGAGTTTTTTTATCGAACGTCGTGCTATATGAATGAGATACTGCTTATGACGATCTATAAATGCTTGCTTAGTGTTATAATTTTTTAGGGGTTACGTAAAAATTAATTATTTTATTTTGATACGTGAAAATAAGGGATTTTGTTCTGTGATGTTTTGTCCGTTAGGAGAATATACTGCTCTCGATTTTTAACACGCCTTAGTAGTTTAATCCTGATGAACGGTGTCATTTGTTTTTTTCTTATGTTCCGACACAAGGACGATTTTAAACGTTACACGAAAGTATTAAGACTTTGGCCTACACTGTACATTAGATTAGATTTTTAAAGTAATTGTAAATAGGACGTCTGTAAATAAGAAATATTATCGGAAGGATCTTGACTTTTAAAGCGTCGAACGGTGATTTTAAGCTATTATACTAATTTATTTTATTTTGTACTTATTCCTTTATTTATGAATATCTGAAGACTAAACTGTTTGCCATTAGTTTTAATTTGTTTAATTTATTCGAATGATTAATTTTATTTGCAGTGCTAGGAGGCAGCTATGTAATTTTATATTATGTACAGGGTGAATCAAATTCGGGGAGATTGTTCTCTCTGAATCTTGAAAAGCAAAAATTACTTCTTAAGAAGGCGCTAGAGCAAATAGGCAACCAGCAATACATTTTTATAGATTTTATTACACAGTTTGTCTAAATATGAATCAATGCACCACTTTCCTCCATTTCAACGCAGATTTTCTACAAAATGGACTTCGTTTGAAACTCAAATAATTTTTAGGTGTACAGAAATTTGTAATTTACGATGCAAATTACACATTTCTTTGCAACAAAAAGTAATTTGAGCTTCAAACTAACTCCATCTTATAGAAAATCTGCGTTAGAATGGAGGAAAGTCTGTTATTTGTGCATTTATTCATATTTAGACAAACTGTGTAATAAAATCTATAAAAATGTATTGCTGGTTGCCTATTTGCTATAGCGCCCTCTTAATTAAAGAAGTGATAGATTGCGTGTATTAAATACAATGTTAGGTCCACGTCCACACCTTGTGCGTTTGTTTTGTTTCCAATTTTTTATTTTTTGTATGTGTATATAGGTCGTTAAGAACGATTGTTAGGGGCGAGATGTAGAACCTGAAATTAAAGTACTTACAGCTTATTAACTATTTTTTAAAAAGAGCAATCAGCTTTTCACTCAGAATTGTAATTATTATGATTAGAATTGTGTAGTCGTATATATTTATTCCAATTTTTTATTAACAAAATTCCACGTGGTTGTTATGAATACACTTTTGCTATGTTGAAATAAAATATGTTATTGTTGGCTTTGTTGTCTTTTATTGGATGGTTAGGTGATTAAATGCTGCTCAAACAGGTAGGTATGCACACAGCTTTCGTAAATGATTACGAGCCGTGTGGCTGTCAAGCTTAGGCAACCAACATTGCAGAGTTGCAAAGAAAACGTTAAATCTTAGTGTCACTAATGTTAGCGACTCGTTTACAATGAATGATGACAAACCGTTACATTTATGCTCGAGATCATGCGATTGTTGATTAGAATAGAATCTCGTGAAAAATTACACCGATCATAGCCAGTGAAACAGAATGTTGCGGTTTACATGTAATCTTGATTTAATTTTGCCAAAATTTATTGCCACGTGATCAGTAAGTGTTAGGCTCGGTAGCTTTTATAGGAATTTTTTTTTGGAAGCGATAGTTACATTACTTATTACTTTATTGCTACTGCAGAGCATTTAACAATGTTTAGAAGCTACGTGACTACCGAGCTTAGGCAACCGACTTTGCCGGGCCGCTGTAATGAAAGTTCCCTAAATCGTGGCCTCGCCAATATTGATTCGTTTACAATGAATGATGACAAACCGTTATGTTTATGCTCGAGATAATATATTTGCCGACTGATTGAATAGTGTTGTGAAAAAATTACACCAGTGACAGTCTGTGAAACGGAATGTTGCGTTTTAATGTAATTGTAAATGTAACCTTATTGTTTTAATTTTACCGAAATTTAATTGCCAGCATGAAGTAAATAAAATTACTGGTCACGTGGCTTGTAATCATTTATAATGGCTCTATATTATAATTAAGAGGACTCTGTAGCAAATAGGAAAGCAGCAATACATTTTTATAGATTTTATTACACAGTTTGTCTAAATATGAATTAATGCACGAATAACAGATTTTCCCCCATTTTAACGCAGATTTTCTGGATGGACTTAGTTTGAAGCTCCAATTACTTTTTGGTGTAAAGAAATTTGTAATTTGCCGCTTTTGAAGATCGTAAATTACAAATTTTTTTACACCTAAAAGTAATTTGAGTTTCAAACTAACTCCATTTTATAGAAAATATGCGTTAGAATGGAGGAAAGTCTGTTATTTGTGCATTAATTCATATTTAGACAAACTGTGTAATAAAATCTACAAGAATGTATTGCTGGTTGCCTATTTGCTAGAGCGCTTTTAAAATATTAAGTTTTTCTAAATGTGCCAATAAAAAAAAATATTTCCAGATGCATTCATTTCAATATTTTGCCCATTGCGCCTCGATAAAATAAAATTTTTGATATTTTTTCGAATGTGCCATCGAATAAAATATTCAACATTTGTAAAAAAAATCAAATTCTTCATAATTCGCCTAATGTGCCTAGGAAAATAAAATTTTCAATAATTTGCCAAATGCGCACAATGCAAAATTTTCGATGTTTTGTAAAAAAAATTATGGATATTTTGGCGTTACAAAAAAAAAAGTTCATATTAAATCTGACTCGCTATCAAAAACGCGCACCTTCATGCCAGGGTGGGTAAACTTCAAGAACAAACAACATTTAAAGTACCAATTTTTTTATTCAAATTATAATAGCATACACGCAGTGTGTAGACGTCTATACACTTACAATAAAATCTAAATTTAAACTTCAACATGATAGTCGATCTGCTGAGCTCGAGAGACGTTCGGTTGTTTCAATTAAACAATTGGCATGCCCCACACACGATTTTTTAATCGCACGCCCGTGGTTTAGGTAATCAAAAACGTTTGAATTTTTAAAAACGTCCACGTGCGCCGGTTACAACTTCGTGTCCATCTATCCTTCAAAATGTGAACTAATTACCCGGACGTCGCTGTATACAGCGAAATAAAAAATTAATATCCAATATAATCCTCGTTGCTCTTTAATAAAATTGTAATTCAGAAAAAGCACACTCCATTAAACTAAGAATTATTTCGTAAATAAATGATACTTAGGCAGCTAAAGTTTGAGAACACTCGATTAAAAAATTACAAAATTATAAAACGGGATGTGCAGAACACCCCTCTTGTATAATAGTAATCGATCAATTTGGGAAATTTTACGTCTCGTCAGTCTAAAATTATATCCAATCTCACTAATTTTCATAAAAAATATATGTATACCCTTAACATCATCTAAATTTGTGAATTTACTATAAATCTATATAATTTATTGTATGATAAACCGTCCTTGTACAAAAAAAAAAAAATAATAATAAATGCAGTTTTCAAAAGAGGGTAGAAATTTGTATAAACATTATATCTCGTGATGACTCGTGGGAAAAAAATAAAGGTAAGCTGTAGATTAATACGAGTTAAACATGATCACCGGTGGCGTAGCCGTCAATAAAGACAAAAAAATTGTCCAAGCAAGGGGTAAAACTATCATTTTTTACATTTAAACATGCACAGACCAATTTTAAATGCTCTTTAAATAAAAAAATTAATGTTCGATATGTCACATTTTTGTTATACAGGTGGTTCGATTATTGTTAATCAAACTTTAGGCATAGGTAGATTATTAAAAAATAATTATAGCTTGCTTCGAGAAAAAATACGTTTCTTTTGAATATTTTACAAATGCATGACCCATTTTTGTTATATATAAAATTTTTACATTTTTATCACTTTATCATTTAATAGTTTCGTAGAAATATGGGTGACAAGTGATTTTATTGAAAAAAAAATTGCCTCTAATAGAACACAAAAATGATCATTTTCAAAATTTAGTTTTTGCATGTAACATATTTGTTAAAAATCACATGTAGTAGAAATTATATGTATGATTTGTGTTTGGAACAAATTAAAAAAAATAAATGGTAAAACTCAGATCTAGTACTTGTTTATAAAAGTAATCCTTAAATTCAGCAGAAAGTTAAAAAATATAGTAACACCTGGCATATATGGGACATTCTATACAGGGTGTCCCGAAATGAATGCAACAAAATTTGGTCACAGATTTTTAAGACAAAGAGTGATCGCAAAAATCGCTCGTTTTTTCACAATTCGCAGAGAACTAAAGAAAATAGATAAAAATATGTTTTTGGTCTCAAATTACTCATCGTAAAAAATTAAGATAGTTTTCAAATTCTTCATTTTTGGCCTTTTTTCAACCCCTAAGTAGAGGTGATTTTTAAATTTTTCAAAATACTAAAAACTATGCTCATTTCAGTTTTTTACGACAAGTAATTTGCGACCAAAAACATATTTTTATGTATTTTGTTAATTCTCTGCGAATTGTGAAAAAACGGGCGAAAATCACAGGTTTTTTATGGTCGCTCTTTCTTAAAAATTATTAGTCCGCTAGAAAGCCATAAAATTTAGAAACTTTTTGTCCCTTGATACTTTTTTCGTAAAACGCAATGTTTTCGAGAAAAATGTCAAAATGGGATCGAATGCATATCATGATTCACCATTTTCCTCAAAAACATTGCGTTTTATGAAAAACACATGGAGAAAAAATTTTAATTTAAATTCAATCGCTTTTTAGCTAATAATTTTGAAAAAATTGAAATTTGCGACCAAATTTTTTTGTTTCCAAAGACAAAGGGGCCCACGAAAAAATGTCTTAAAAACCCCTGTGTATAAAATTTAGTGATTCTCACACAACAGGGTTCTGAGATATAAAAAAGACTATTCTTAAGGGCAGATTTCAGGGGGCTGTAACTCCCGAAGAGGGGGCCACTTGACAAAAAGAAAAAATACAGATCCCCTAAATTTGACTTAAGAATCTATGACCAAATTTTGTTGCGTTAATTTCCGGACACCCTGTATATTAAAATATAATTTTGAAATACGTAGGAGACTGAAAAACTAGCCATTCTCCGTTTCTATGAAGTCGATAAACTGAAATATTGAAAACACAGTTAAAAATTGCAATCGTAAAATGCTCAAAAATTTATTTTGGAATAATTTTCATGAAGTGCAAAGGAGAATAAATAAGTTCAAGCCTGAAGGGCTTGTTAATTTGTTTTAAATGATATAACCGTCGTAAAATTAGGAAATGTGGCATATTTTTAATTTTTTTTTTTTTTGAAAACGACAAAAATTTTAATTATTCTCTAACAGTTTTGCGAAATTGCTGAATATTATCCAATTTTCTCAAAAATGTGAAGTGTTCCATATTTTTTAATATTGCGAAATTTGCAAAATTTTTCCTTTTGTGTTGCCGAAAGGAACTTCCAAACGTATTGAAAACGTCTCGCTTTTATAACACCGATAAAAAACTATTTGAAAAATTTTTTTTTATGAAAATTTTAACACCCTGTAACTCAAAAGTAAGCATTTTTCTAATTTAACAAACTATTTTTATTTATCGATAACCTGCTGCCAAACGTTGGCCTGAAAAAATCCAACCACCCTGTATTAACTTCCCTATCGAAAATATTTTACCTCTTAGTTCCGCTACGCCACCGACGACCACTACAACCGTTCCATCGTATATATATTTATAAAGAAAGTTACCAGTTCACCGCCGACATAACAACAACGATAATTATCTCTGATTATTATAAATTTGTACCTTACGTAAATCAAACAAAAACTATAAAAATCGATAACCTTATATAAAAATCTCAACGAAAATACCAGCTCATAAATAGTGACAGTTGTCGCACACCCTCACCGGGTACTCCCAGCCGCGCAACGGCACCGGCTTCCTCGCCTTCGAACAGTCGTCGCAGACGCCCTTCCCGCAGTTCCTGCAGTGGTGGAGGTACAGGAGCAGCCCGAACGGTTTCTGACATATCGAGCAGTTGATGCACTCGTCGTCCGGCGTCCAATATACGGGCCTCGCCGCGTCCTTCAGCAGCTCCTTGGGCTTGTCGTAGACGACGGACTTGACGGCGGCCAGGGTGTTGACGACCGTCTCGCCTATCACGCGGGCTCGGTTCTCCGTGCCATCCGAGTTGGTGGTGAGGCTGGGGGGCGAGTCCCTGTAGCACTGGTCGCAGACCCTAACGTCAGAAAACCAGCCCCTGGACGGGACGGTCTGCCTCTTGGACGAGCAGGGGTCGCAGACGGTCTCGCCGCACGCGCGGCAGTGGTGTCTTCGGAGGGCGTCCGAGAACGGGGTGCGGCATATGTAGCAATCCTGGGGAAAAAATGACATTTGGGATTCGATAGTGGGAAAGTTTTCTTTCTCTATACAGGGTGTTTTTAAAAAAATGGTACCAGCCTCCTTAAAAGAACTACGCTAAAGAATATTTCAGGCAGCAGATGACCTTCGCAATAACCAAGAACTGTTTATGCGAGTGCGTTATAACTTCAACAGACGTATTAGGTTATGCTTGCAGCAAAATGGAAATTATTTCGAGAATATTCTTTAAATTTAATTTTGCATTTCTTGTTTTTCGTTTGTATTAAATTTTGTTTCAGATAAATAACTTTACCTAATACGTGTCCCATAGTCGTAAGTTATCAAACATTTTTCATTAATTAATAGCAAATTATTGTTAATGTTATTATTAAATTACCAACTTATTGACAGAAAGTGTCAATTTATTAATATGATAAGTAACAATTCATTTGTTATAACATGCGCCTACTTTATTTTTACAAATTTTCGCAATTACCCCTTTAATGAACGATGACGCATCTCATTTTTTTACTAGAAAACTATTGGTTCTATTGAAAAATTACAAGAGGTAAAAAAGTTGCGCTATAAATCAGTTTTCACAAAAAAAATTTTTAAATAAAAAATTTGCTTCATACAAAAAATTTCTAATAAAATATTGCGATAGGGTCGACTGTTTCACTCCTTTATAAAATAAAAAGTTTCGAGTCTCTAGCATTCCCCATGTTAAAGAAAAAAATTAAAATGTGAATTTCAATCCCCTCCTTTAAGAGGGTATATCGCCTCAGGGCAACTTTCACATAAGGTATTTTTACTTCAGTCCTCTTATTTTTGGCTCTACATTCACTAGTACCATTTTTGCTACTTCATTTAAAAACACCCTTTATATAAATTATTAACTGACTGAAATAGAAAATAACATATTTAAATGGCGCTTAATATTAGGCTGTCCATGGCAGGTCCATTGTCTGGCCTCCTAGATGACCTGATCTTAACCTAATTGATTTTTAACCCTAGGCTACCTCAAAACCTCAATTTATTCACCACCTGACAGCAAATATGTTATAATGAAATGCAGCACTTCTTTCCATCAAAAACAGTTTAATTTTAGATTTGCAGATGTGCTCTGAACTGAGATTTTTCTGTAAGTGGTTCTTAACAACATATGTCCCACCGCCCGATGGGAAATGTTTTTTTTGGGACACTCTGTATAACAAGTTATTATTTTTATGATACACGTTCTTAAAGTTGGCTAAAAAAATTTTAACCATCCTGTATTTCCAGTCTTAAATACAAAGTTAATTAAAAAAAAATTAATTAACTTCATTATTAATATTAATACAATGATTGTTCGGTCGATCTCAAAACGTGAATGAATTATCATTATAGCATTGTAAATATAAGTACGAGGAAGGAATATTTCGGATGAATAATCTGCAAACATGTCATACTTTTAGAGGTCGTTGTTGCTCCAACAGAAAACACAAAATTATTTCTAACGTAATTTGTAACGGCACGTACCCTACTTTCGAGGTTGGATTTCCAACAAGGGGGCGCGATTTTGTCGGCGGCCAGTTCGCTTATCATCTTCTTCGGCTGAGACCCGACGCTAGCCACCAGGTCGGAAATCATCGTGACGCCATCTATGACCTTCTGGGCGGAATTCTGAGATCCCAGCAACGATTTTTCCTGAAAATAATATTTGTCCTTTTCTTCAATTAAATATATCGGGAAGAATGTGGTATACCGACACTTAGAACAAAATGGGAGTCGCGAGAACACTTCGGTCACGGAAAATTAAAAATAAAAATCTGTGCCGAACCGTCCCCACGACTGTAATAATCCAGTCTATCAAAACTTACGCCTGGCCATATGTGGACTATCTCCACACGGACCGCACAGTCCTCGGGGTTCTTGTTGCCGTACCAGTGCTGCCTGCTTCTGTATATCTCGCCGCAATTCGGGCATTCTATCACGTACCCCGACCACACGTAATTGAGGTAGCTGGACCAGGAATTGTCGGAAGTCGTTTGATAACTCGGTTTTACGACTATTTTATTACCGTTTTTGTAACAAATCTGAAATAAATCCACAATGCGTCAATTTTTATGACAAAAAGAAAAAGTGAAGGTCCACAAATATAAAATATTACGCAAGGATTGGCAACGTTGCAACAATGCAACTGTTTACAACACGTACTGACCTATGCCACTCACCTGGATTCAATAGACACCAGCCAGGATAAAAGGAGGTCCCACAAAGCGCCTACACCGGCCGCATTTGCGGTCGGGGTAGACGACAGATGGGGCCCACCTACGAAGGCTGTCCAGGCCTACACGAGATGAGGCAGGATAAAGAGGGATAATCCCCCTCGATCCCAAATCATTGAGGCCAATTTCTAGCCATGGAATAATGGCGGGAATAGACATTACATCACCTTTCATATATCATGTCGCAATTTGTTATGAATCTGTATGTTTGCTTTTATATTGCTAAATTTATGATGAGAAATATGCACCCGAATGATAAAAAATTTGCATTTGAATAACAAATTGTTGAAAATTTTTTAGCGTCAATAAACTAGACAAGGAATTAGAGATAATAAGGTTCTAATTTATCAACATTGCCAATTTTTAAATCACTAATTTAATACAATAGCATCAATTTTCCAAATCTACAATTATAACATCTGTTTCTATTTCAAATATTTTCCATTAGACTGTTGCCAAATGCATAAATTATTTTTACTTTATTACATTACAAGGAATCTAGTAGTTTTTTTATGTTACTACATACTTTTAAATTTTTTTATCTATTACATTTTAGAACCGTAACTACTATTTTATGATAATTGCAAGTAATAAAATTTATTACGTTACTACTTGAATTAAAAATGTTATTTACAAAACCAGTAAAACTACTATAAAACTAACTATAAACACCTTGTACAATTTAAATCGCAACGAAAATAAATGACTTGCGAAACGAGTCCTAAAATCGCTATGGCGGTACGTACATTGTTTCGAGAAAATTAATGAGCTTTCTTTAAATAAATATTAACCCAAGATGTGTTGACTGGCACACAGCCAAAAGCATTAATATAGAATCTGATTTAAGTGTAAACATATAGCATCAATTTCATGGAAAACACTTTACTTGTTATTCTGTTGAACTTGAAATGATTCTAGGACAAAGCCACGTACCAAATAGTAAATATACAAAAATAAATCAAATAAAATTCTTACCTTACACAAGTACACACAGTTTTGATACTGGTGTTGAAATTTGCAACTTTTGTCGCTGTGATGTGGTTCCCCTTCATCTTTGTGACCCATTGACAGGACACAACTGTTTTTACACGACTGACATTTATCCGTACAGGTAAAAAAAGCCGGCAAGTACAACTGAGGACTGGCGTCGCTTATCTGGTTTTGGAACTTCTCGTTCAAACTCTGGAACAACACAACCTGTATGGAAGAACTGGAAGGCAATAAATATATTTACCTTCAGGGTCAGGAACACATATTTAGCATCTCGGGGCGACCTAACCTCAGTATTTTCCAATTTCTCAAACAAAGCGTTCTTTAACTTTTCAAATGACGTAACGGAATTGACCGTCTTAACTCCCACGTATTTGATGAAACTAAATGCATCATACGACATGTTCAAGTCCGCGAATGTGGTGTGTAAGATATCTTCCACTGATTGTGTCACACTAGCACTTTCGTGTAAGGTGTCGGTGTAATGAGTCTCGTGAAAGATAATCACGCCCGGCCCTAAACCGCCTGCAATTTTCTCACAATCGGTTTTGGCCAGTACCTTCTTCAGAGCGGCAGAGAAGTGTTCTTTGTATGCCTTCGAAGCACCTCCTAGAAAAGTGTACATGTCTCTTTGTAGGCGTTCCGCTCTCGTTCTATATATGATTACATCCGAAACAGCCAGTACCTTTAATAGTAGTCGAGTACGTTGATGTTCATTTTTCGAGATACCTAAAAAACAATGGAAGTGCATCTGCTCGTCAAACTATAAAAAATCTTGGAACTAACCTAGCAAACCTTCAGTATCCAGACATATGACATTTAAATCAGAATTATACATTGCCCATACTCCTAAGGTACAAGACGTTTGAGCGGTGGATGTGCGAAATACTTCTTTCCCATCAAAGAAAACCGTATTTAATGTATATGATTTTCCTTCGCCAGTGTTTCCAAATATCGAAACCACTTTAACCTTGGTGTTAGGTTCTATTTTTAATGACTTTAGAAAGCTTTCTACAGAATTAACCCTAAGTCGTTCACGATCGTCTAGTAACAAAATACTTTTATGTCCCTGTACATGATGATCAATATCGTCAGTCAAATTTAAACTGGACATCTCTTGATACATCAACCCATTGTTTAAGGAAGGATCACCGGAAGCATTTTCCAAACCCGTGTAGATGAGATTTGGTTCTAGGGACTTTAAAATAGGCGATCCAACAGTAATATGTTTATTTTTCATATGTCCTGCTAATGTATCCATAATTGCGAAAAGAAAGTATTCCCCTTTGTACAAGCTGAAATTGATGTGCAAAATGTTTGGTTAAGATCAAAAATAAACTAAGAAATATTTAACAAAAGATACGCAGTTACGGTTCAGGTATTATCTCAAATTATAAAAAAATAAAACCTCAAACTTTAAAAATTTATCACATAGATTAGAAGCTTTGTACAAAAATGTTGACGTGTTATTAAAATGAAGCGCATTAAATCGTGTTTACATACAAAGAATAACAAAAAGCTGGGATAACATTGCTTACCATCTAACAAATTCACATTATGTTAAAAAAAATGGATAAATCATTAAACATCATAATTATTTATAAATGATTTGACACTAAAATTTGACATTAGATAAATAATGCAGCATTGCACAGTGTACACATACTGTCCGTTTTTAAGGTCAACGCAAAGAAAATACGTTCGCTAGAAAAATGGAAATTTTGTTTTATCACGAAAATGTCTTATTTTTCAAAAAAGAAATTAATGTGGACATAGGAGGTCGTTTAAGAATTAACAACTATTAACACATGTTAAAATGGCACGACTGACAGATCTAGATTGAGATTATAAAAAGGCAAGTATTCAAATAATTTTTGGCCTTGTAAAGGAGAAAAGAAACAAAATAATTTAAATTCCTTGCTAATTTAGATATGAAACAGAATGAAACTGGCCCATTTCAAATGGGATGTTCTCCAACTTTTTAACTAAACACACAATCAAATTAGCTTAAAAAATATGATAATTTTTTGACATCATTTAAAATCCTTCGAATAAAAATTAAAACATGCATTGTGACGTTGTTGAATGAAAATTTCGAATTGCGCGCCAAAAATAGTAATGTTTGGAATATTTCAGTCTACTGCAGTGGCAACATGCGCACCTGAGCATCATTCATTTATAAAATCTAAACAAACTAGACAGACATAAATAATAATAAGATTAATAGGATCTGTAAGAAAAAAACAATATTTAATTGAAATTTATCAATAACATAATATTAATAATGTTTATTTTTAAATGCATCCCGTCAGTCTCTCAACTGAGATATTTAATAATATTCCGAATTTTTGTCTTAGGCAAGTTACGCGCAAAAAATTATCAATTTTATTATAAAATTAACTAATTCCTTCACTAAAAATATAAAAAACATTCATTTTCAAGAACATGTCCATTGATGGAAACATTGATAAAATGTCTCGCAAAATAAATGTAATAATCATTATGACGCTACATAATTTTCAAACATTTATCCAAATTGGAGAGCCCGTCTCTGTGGTGTACATTTGTTCTTTTCTTTGCCTGTCCTGTCTCACTCGTTAGTTAGGATTTATATTTTTTAAGTTGGTACAATAGTGTCGTAAAATTGGTGCTTTTCTGTTTCGGTGTTTAGAAACCTGTATTTGTATTTTATATTTGACGTGACTTTGGAAACCACATACTTCTATGTGCTTGAAACTTAAAGGATTATGTTATGGTTAGAAAAAGCTGTTGAAAGTTAAAAATTGGTTAGAATGGGTGTATTCAGTCTTCAGCCGTTAACTAAAAGTTCTAACAATCTCTGGTTTAATAGCTGTAGCCAAGCTTGAACAAAAATAATTTATTACGAAGGGCCATATCGCAAGTTATCAGTAAGCGGTTGCAATCATGTCAGTATTTTATGCCATTTTCTTACTTAACAAATAGTTGAGCCCTGTTGAATGTATCCAAATGACTAGTTTCATTATAAACAAAAATATTTTTTATGTTCAACGAAGACATACGAATAATCAATTAACAATGCTGTGGTTTTTGATTGCACAACTAATAATAAAAGACCATTATCGAAAAATGTTTATTTGTAATAAAAGGCGCCCACTTAAATATGTACAACAACAGTATATAATTTATTATTTAAAGTGAATTGGGCTCTATACAATATTTAAAGGTTAACAATAAACAACATAACTCAGCCTTTTTTCGTTCTCACAAACCTGCCGATCTCAACTATATAAGTCCGATCCAAATTAACCACTAATAACAGTGTTAACTTTCAAATTAAATATTGCAATATTTACTTAATAATACTAATATATATCCGGAGACTATGTAGTTAAGATCAGCGTCTCAGCATCATCGTAAAAAAGAAGTCACCCATAAAGTACAAAAATACTTAATGTAAAATAATTTAAAAATATAATACCTTAAATATACATGGTTACATGAGCATATCTTTACCTACGAAAAGTAATCGCTTAAATTATTTATGAACGTAAAAATATCTTTTGCGTTTGTAGCCTTCACGGACAGACGACATGATGTTGCATTCGTAATTTACAGTGTGATTAATAAAATTACTTAATATTTTGTACTAGTCTGAGAAGCACAAACTGTTGCTTTCAACGTTTTGGTAAGAATCTTACAACAAAATAAGTACAGCACAATATTTTCGAAAAATCCGCGCCTATAAGAAACCACTTTTAGTAGGTCAGCATACGAGTAGAAATTGTAACAGAAATTCAAATAGAAACGTAACGCACCAGTGTAATGTTAAATTCATTCGTCCTACCAACAGATGAAGAGATTCGCTGCGGTACATTTTGTTAACAATATTTCAGAAGTCACTACGAGAGCGTAGACATATATTTTATTTATATTTACTAAATTTCGGATTTAAATTGGAAATTTCGAGTTCAACGGACAAATTTCAAGTTCGCACTCAGAATTTCAAGCTCAAACTCGAAATTTCAAATTCAAATGCATTTCAAATTCAAACGTGAAATTTAATTCAAACTTGATATTTTGTTTTACAAGTTGAAATTTGGCAAATAAAAAAAACAATGTGTATTTGCTAAATTTCGAATTTAGATTAGAAATTTCGAGTTCACCAGAAAAAATTTCAAACTCAAACTCGAAACTTCAAATTCAAACATGAAATTTAAGTTCAAACTTGATATTTTGTTTTCAAGTTGTTTGGTAAATAAAAAAAAAACTATGTGTATTTACTAAATTTCGAATTCAAATTATAAATTTCGAGTTCAACAGACATATTTCAAGCTCAAACTCGAAATTTCAAATTCAAACATGAAATTTAAATTCAAACTTGATATTTTGTTTTTCAAGTTGAAATTTGGTAAATAAAAAAGCAATGTATTTACTAAATTTCAAATTTAAATTATAAATTTCGAGTTCAACAGACAAATTTCAAATTCAAACATGAAATTTAGGTTCAAACTTGATATTTTGTTTTCAAGTTGTTTGGTAAATAAAAAAAAAACAATGTATTTACTAAATTTCGAATTTAAATTATAAATTTCGAGTTCAACAGACATATTTCAAGCTCAAACTCAAAATTAAATTTCAAATTCAAACATGAAATTTAAATTCAAACTTGATATTTTGTTTTTCAAGTTGAAATTTGGTAAATGAAAAAAAAGCAATGTATTTACTCAAATTTAAATTATAAATTTCGAGTTCAACAGACAAATTTCAAATTCAAACATGAAATTTAAATTCAAACTTGATATTTTGTTTTTCAAGTTGAAATTTGGTAAATGAAAAAAAAGCAATGTATTTACTAAATTTCAAATTTAAACTAAATTTCGAGTTCAACAGATAAATTTCAAGCTCAAACTCGAAATTTCAAATTCAAACATGAAATTTAAGTTCAAACTTGATATTTTGTTATCAAGTTGTTTGGTAAATAAAAAAAACAATGTGTATTTACTAAATTTCGAATTTAAATTATAAATTTCGAGTTCAACAGACATATTTCAAGCTCAAACTCGAAATTTCAAATTCAAACATGAAATTTAAGTTCAAACTTGATTTTTTTTTTCAAGTTGTAATATGGTAAATAAAAAAAAACAATGTGTATTCACTAAATTTCAAATTTAAATTATAAATTTCAAGTTCAACAGATAAATTTCAAGCTCAAACTCGAAATTTCAAATTCAAACATGAAATTTAAGTTCAAACTTGATTTTTTTTTCAAGTTGAAATTTTGTAAATAAAAAAAATTACGAATGTCTGGCCTTTCTACATATTTGTTTATTTCAAATTCAAATTCCAAAATTTTAAGTTGAAATTTGTTATTTCGTGTTTCATAGTTTAAACTTGAAATTTCAAGTTTCAATTCGTTATAACGCTTTAGAGAAAATGCCTCTGTGCTTCTTAAGTGTGATTTCCTATAGCCTGCATGCTTATTGCTATTAAATAAAATTAAAAAAGTCGTGACAGCTCCATCTGTTATTACTAATATTTATACAATGTACAAATAAATTTTTTTATGCTATATACATGGTCTCGTGTTAAAAAAATATTATCTAGAGGTGTCAATATTTCAACAATACTTTAATCCGAAGCAATTTATACAAGTTGCCAACAATTCTACAAAACAATGCATTTATAAAGGTGTATGTATAATTATATTTTCATAATAAATGTATATCTATGATATATTAAATAAAGGGCAATAAATCACTCAACGGATTTGGTAAGAAATGCAGTTTAGAGAAACATAAATAAGTGTTAACTTGTTATTAATATTACATAATTAAAAAAAATTATTGGATAAAATTCGGATGATATATTTCTTATACTTTTAGGGGAAAAATATACGAGAATTTAGATCATCCTGTAATATTTATAATAGGCACTTCGAACAATTGTCAGAACATTTAATCATGATTTATTAGCGGTACCTTTCGGCGTTATTAGTAGGGCGGGGCTCGAAGGTCTCGACTTCCTGGTTACAGTTTGCGGGATAACGGTAAGGGATTTGGGTATTTTAGGTAACAGCAGTGACGACGGTTTCTCGTTCAATTTGGACTCTAATTTTTCGACTTGTTTGTCGAGTTTCTCGAGAATATTCTCACCGTCATTGCCGTTATCACTCTGAGGCGTGACTATTTCACCTTTGGCGGAATTAGCGCCCGTTGGAGTTTTCGAAATTATCAAGCCTTTCCTAGGCGTGATGGATTTCAAAACGGAATTGTGGGTTACGAGGATCGGCTTCGCGTGCTGCGCTTCCTGCAGCCGTTTCTGCTTCATCTCGAAGCTCCTCTTTATGGCGCACATCTTCTTGTAGTCTTCTAGCGTGATATGATATGGTTTGCCCCCCGATATTACCTAAAAAGTTTGTGATGCTAGAGAATTACCGAAAATGTCAAAATCACCAAAATTAAAATTGTTTGCTTTTGAAAATGACTAAAATAGAGTATAGAAAACACCGCAAAAATAATTCGGGGAAAACGCTCCCTTCTAGCAGCAAGCACAGTTGAGTTGTGGATACACCGAGTGATAGCTCCAGTGAATAAAAGCAATCATAAAATATTTTAACATCTTTTTTTAGGCAAGCATGGACTTTTCCAAATTAAAAATTAGTTTTTTGTTCTTCTTACTTCTAAGTTTTTGAAAAGATGTTATTTGAATTTTTTTCAATTCTATGCTTCAGCAATCAATATATTTGGTATCATTTTTTTTAATTGTCGCACGACTGCCACCCATAGAGGGCGAAAACAATGTTTTAATTGTCAGTGTTGCAAGAAACAACTACTCCGAGGGCATTGAATTATGTCGTGACGATACGACAAAAAACAGCTGGATCGTTCGTTGGTTGTCTCACCTATGATACACTGATGAGGACTAATAAGTCCGAAACCGGTCTGTGCCTGGTGGGCAGTGGTGGGTCAAACTGACGAACGATCCTAGCTGTTGCACTAGGTGTTGCAAGTATAATTCAATGCCAGTAGGGGCATATAGTCCTCGAGTAGTTGTTTCTCGCAACACTGACAATTAAAACATTGTCTTCGCCCTCTATGGGTGGTAGTCATGCAACAAGTACCTGCAATATAGCAGGTCGCTTCCTACTGTAACAATTTGAATGGCACAGTTGGAGCCATTTGCGCTCCCGCATACAATATTTGGTATCGTTTTATCCTTTAGGCCAATTCTATGAAAACACATCAAAAGTTTCTGGTCGCATTCGGCAGTCAGTTACCGGTTTTAAAATAAGTGTCGCTAATAATTTATTACCAACAGAACTTAACTTTCGGCTTACCTGTACTAGTCCCGCTTTCCTTTCCTGCTTCTTGGTGGGATCGATCGGGATCAAGTTGGGCCTCCAGTTTTTCGTTATGGGAAACTTGATTTTCTGCGACTGCGGCACCTTCACCAGGGGAGCTATGGGCCGGGTGGTGCCCGGATGTAAAGAGATCAGCCCCGGAGGAGCCCCCACCATTTTCGGCCTGACCTGCTGAAGGACCGCCCCTGCCGGTATTAAAGGCGGGCTGTTCAGCTGAGACAACGTCAACGGCGTGTTTTTCGCTACGTTGTTCGTTATAGAAGTGACGGACACGGCGGAATTGTTGCCCAAGGACGTGACGCTGCTGTGCGTTGACGTGCTGGTGTTCAAACTCAACGATACGTTCGCGCTGGTGATTATCCCGCTGCTGCTCTTCTGCATCTTGTTGAAAGGTATCATGCTGATGGGCTGGATGTTGCCCGCGCTCGTCGGGATGTTGTCGTACGCTCTCAGTCGATTGTGAACGGACTCGCTATAGTTTATGGAGTGGTGACTAGCGGTGGGCGACAGAATTAGGTCCCCGTTCCTAAAATATTTCTCCAAGAGGATCAGGTGCCGCATAAAGCTGCTTTGGTTGCCGTAGGGTTTCTGCAGTTCCTGCCACAGTCTTTTGGTTTCTCCGTCGTACTGGATGGTCGAACAGCACTTCTCCCACCCTTCCGGGGTGCGATCTTTCACGTTGCTGAAGTCGACGTGGGCGCTGAGCGGTAAGTCTTCCTCGCCGGGGAACAGTTGGCGGACTGAAATCGACGGATTGGATCCTAATTTTTGCACCACCACGTCGCTACTCTTGCACTTGTCACTGTTCACTTTTATTACTTTTGAGATTTCTACAGCCTCTTTAATCTGCAAAAGTAAAAACACGTATTAACAATTATCAAACAAATACCAAAAATATTTAAAAAAATGTATATATTACTTACAGATTCTATTCTTGGTATCTTTTTTATCACAACGGGAGCCTTCCTGGGCGGCTCCTTCTTAGATTCCGTATCGCTGCCACAGTCCATCGCGATAGCCGGTATAAGAGTGGTGTAATCCACGCTATTATACTCGTCACTTGGAGATTCTGAACGGGACTGTGGCTGACTGCTGGTGTCAGTCGAAGGCACTCTTTCTTGGATTTTTTCAGGAAAATCGCTTGCGTCTTGACTATCGTTCTGACTAGCCGAATCGTTAGCGGTGGAGTTCTTCCCAAGCTTCTTGGTTTTCTTTTTCAATTGGTCTATTCTATCCGTTTTGCTCGGCACTGATATGGGCTCTTCCGCAGCGGCTTCGTCCATCGGGACTATGTCATTGAAATGTAGAAGCCTGAAAAAATTAGGTCATAAAGTAACGTCTGGCGCCCAACGTGGGGCACGTCTGGCGCCCAACGTGGGGCACTTCTCACCTTCGCTTATATTCCTTGAAGAAGTTTGTGCTGTTCTCGGGCCTCTCCTCGGGATCCTTCAATATTATAGAAGCGAAACATTTGCACAGCTTACAAACAACAGGTTTATCAGTCAACATGAGCGGAATCCCTTCGTCCTTTAAGGCGTTATTCAAATCGCCCGTCTCGGGACCTAGGTAATGGATATGGTTCCTTGCCAGTCTTCTCTTGCACATGGCGCAAATCATCAAATGCTCCAAGGCGGAATAATGCTCGTCGCATATCGGAATCGAATGCAAACCGGGATTGTCCAGATCTATATTAATCTACAAGGGAGTTTCTCGTTACCAGAGCGAAAATTATCGGAAACAAAGCACTTACCACTTGACAGATGCTCTTTCTCATCTTAATGATCCATTTCCTACGCAGAATGTTCGAGGATACCTTGTTGCACCCTAAAACGTGGCAGTGGTTCTGTCTCGGACCGGGCGCTACTAGCGAGTTCCGCTTTAAAGACTTATTAGTGTACGAGGGAGTATTTGACTTCCTGTCTACATGTCTGTAACAGGCGTCGCATAGGCAGGAGTCCCTCGTGAGATGCTTTTCGGCTGGAAATAAGAATCGGTACAGAAACCGACGGACGGTAGAGCAGGGAAATACACTTACTGGCTAGTATTTTGTTCTGCCGTTCGACGCTCTTCATCTGAGCGATATGACAGGGCGTGTCGAATAAGCCGAATTTGCCGAAACAATAGGAGCATTCATCCTTGCAGAGCCTGCCCGGATGGATACTGAAGGAGCTGGCTTTTTCCGGAATGACTAAAGCTTTTATGGAGCCGTCCTGGGCGGGAGCTTCTCCGTCGGACGTGTGTTCGCTACTGCCATCTGTGAAGAGGGTGGTGTTATTAGTAATATTACATTTTTTGAAGAAAATGAGAGTATAATGCTGATCATACAGAATAATTAAAAAAAATTAATAAATCTCATTTTTGAACTTGGAAAAAAAAATAAAAATAATTGATTCAAGAAATACTTCAAAATAAGATGTAGATGGTAGAAACTAAGAACAAAATCTACTCTCTACAGGGTGTAACTGTTTGTATGGGTCAGTTTTTTTTTTACAGATAATACCGTTTCTCAGAATACTACTCTGATATTTTTTTAAATTGAATAAATTGTCGAGTTAAAATTCGTTTTTTAAACAGCACAAGCGCAAACAAACTCTTAATAAATGAAACCCAAGTGAATTCCCCAGCAAAGCTGTTAACAATTTTTTTTAAACAATAAAAACTGCAAAAAATTACACTTGTTTGTTTTTCTTATATCTCGAAAAATAATGATGGAATCGTATTTCCCTTAATAGGACTTTTGTAGAGAATAAAAAAACCTATAAAATGGTTTTTTGTGCAACCCGATTGGTTCAGTTTTTTCAGAGAAAATCCGGAAAAATCTCTAAAATAGACCTTTTTTCAAAAATTCATAACTCGGTCAAATTTGAAGCTGGAAAAACAATCTTGCGGAAAATGACAGATAATAATATATGGTTTCTGCCCAATGTATAGTTTTTGTACAATTGCATTATAAACAAAGTAGGGTCTTTTTTTGCACAGCGCACAGTGAGAAATATTGGAAAAAATTCGAGCCACGTGTCAAAACTAATCAAATAGTACTGATTCCTTTTTATTCTTTCCGAAATTATCTGTTCCGGTAAGGTAATTGGAATATATGCCTAGAATTTTTTCCAAATGGTCAAGTAATCTCTAACCTCAAACTTTTGACATATTCGGTATCTAAAAATGAAAAAAAAAGGAAAATTACTGTACTAAAGACTGCCAAACAAAAAAAATCATGAACATTAAACATATTAATGTTTTTACGAATTAAAGATTATTATTATTATTATTATTATTATTATTATTATTCCTAAATCATGAATCTAGACCCAAAACATAACCTCAAATTTATAAATCTTAACCTAAAACTAACATACTCAAGATGTGAGTATAAATCCATAAAAATGGTACTTTTGAGTGTGCAACCAATATTTTTGCATAACTTTAACTCTAATTCATAGGAAGCTGACCAGGAAACCTGAAAACCTAACCTCAAATCCAAAATAATGAAGTTAAAAATCCACAGAAACAATATATTTTTTCAACAAAGATATCATTGCTTCAAAAAGACATTCTGCAATATATGTTTTCCTGTGCATACCTAAAATTTAAATCCATAAAACGTAACCTTAACGAACTAGAACCTAACCTCAAAAGGTTTAAAATTTAAGCTAAAAATAAAAAAAGCAAACCAATCCATTTTACGAAAAAAAAATTCTTGAACCAAAATTTTGCAACTGTGTGCCTAACCTTTAAAAATGTATTATTTCTGTGGATTTTTAATTTAATTATTTTGGATTTGAGGTTAGGTTTTCAGGTTTCCTGGTCAGCTTCCTATGAATTTGAGTTAAAGTTATGCAAAAATATTGGTTGCACACTCAAAAGTACCACTTTTATGGATTTATACTCACAGGTTTAGAAGAAATTGAGTATGTTTGTTTTAGGTTAAGATTTATAAATTTGAGGTTATGTTTTGGGTCTAAATTCATGATTTAGGAATATGTTTAATGTTTATGATTTTGTTTTGTTTGGCAGCCTTTAGTACATAATTTTCCCTTTTTTTCATTTTTAGACCGAATATGTCAAACTTTGTATGATCGAGTTTGAGGCTAGAGATTATTCAGCCATTTTGAAAAAATCCTAGGCATATATTCCAATTACCTCACCCAAACTTTATAGTACAACTAATTTCGGAAAGAATAAAAAAAATCAGTACTATTTGATTAGCTTAGACGCGTGGCTCGAATTTTTTCCAATATTTCCTGCGCTGTGCAAAAAAGACCGTAATTTGTTTATAATGCAATTGTGCAAAAACTATGCATCGGACAGAAACTATCTTGCGTACGATTAAACTACATATTATTATCTCTCATTTTCCGCAAGATTGTTTTTCCAGCTTCAAATTTGACAAGTTATGAATTTTTGAAAAAAAAAAGGTATATTTTTAGAGGTTTTTCCAGATTTTCTCTGTAAAAAATGAACCGATCGGGCCGCACAAAAAAACATTTTAAAAGTTTTATTATTCTCTACAAAAGTCCTATTGAGAGTAAGACAGTTCCGTCATCATTTTTCAAAATATTATAAAAAAAAAGGTAATACATGAAATTTGCTGTAATATTTAAGTGTAAAAACATACTCTTTTTCCGCTCTATTGGTTGGCCTAACATTTGAAATATTTTTTAAAATTATTTCAAGTTTTTAATAGAAAAACACTTGTTTTAATTTTTTTAAAGCACTGTGTTTAGTTCGTGAATCTGTGTCGACGATTTTCAACACCGACCAAGTTTACGAAACAAGACATCAATTTTCATGTCAGAATTTGAGATGTTCCTAAAGATCAAAGGTAAGTCCCGGAAAAATATAATCCCCATTCAACATTACACCCTGTTTTGCTAATTACATAAAAATTATTCAAAAATAATTCCAAAGAAAATATAATTATTTCGATTTCAATTAAACTTTAACTACAGGATCCGAGAGTTAACATGGTAATTAGAGTTAGAATACCGCTTACAATTTCGAGGCAAACTGTGCGTTATTAGTAATAAAATATGTCCATAAAATTACAGTACTTGAATGAGGCGTGAAGGAAACCACAAAACCCAACCACGAACAGCAAAAGTAGGGTGTAGTACGATTAAAAAAGAAAAAAGTGCAATAAACGGTAGAGAAGGGGAAGAGATAAGCCCATAACCATGTAATTACCCATGTTAGATCTGTTAGAATAGTGTGATTTTCTGTGCGCACCAGCTGTGTCCGAGGACTGGCTCCCCTGTTTCCATGCGGCGGAGGTACCCTGAAACACACAAAAACAAAATGAAAACAGCCTACAAACAATTGCCATTACTCACCTCTTTCATAATTTCGTAATTCTCCTCGTTGGGAGCTTGTTCCACGACGGCGGAAGCCGCTTTCCCTTTGTTCTTCTGCAGGGTCATTTTAAAAGAATTCCGTCCCTTCTTCTTATCACGATTTATCTTGATCACAGTCTTTAAAGTTCCTGTATAACTATCACTTTTAGAAGCGGGTTTTTCCTTCGTCTTCTGTTTGGCCTCTTCAGCTGCCCTCAGACTCTGAAGACCCAACGCCTGCAAAGGTAGTTTTTAATATACTTATTTTTTTTTGCTGTGCTATAACCCATGGAATACCTTTAGTATGTTCTCCTTTTCCGCCAGTTCCTCTGCAGATTCTGCCATAGAGGGGCCGCTATTCTCTTCATCCTCCTTTGCAGCCTGTTCACTCAAGTCAGTCATGTTGGCAACACAGTTCTCCTCTAAAATTTGTTCCTCAGCTAATGGTTTCGTAGTAGGTTCAATCTCTTGATTTATTTCCCTAATTTTAAGAGCACTTTCACTCTCCGAGTCTTGTTCTAAATCCAAAGACAAGTTGGTAACAACTTCCGAATTAATTTCCTTAATTTCTTCACTTTTAGCATCTTCGGTGGGATCTAACACCTTCTCCGACTCTACCTCTTCGTTCTTTGTTAAATCCACGTTAGTGTCTTGTACTTCTTTATCATCTTTTGCGGTGGAATTCTCTTCGATAATCTCATGACATTCGTTTTCTGTTACAACAGAAACTTTCTCGCTGTTAAGGTGATGTTCAATCGGTTCCTCTACGAAATTGGAAATTTCTTCGGTTAGAACTTGCATTGTAAGTTCGGGCATTTCATCTGTTGAAAGCGCAGCAGCTTCATCATTTTTACTATTGGTTACGTCACTATTAAGCGCTAGTTGAGGGCTTTTCCCATAAAACTTTGATACCACAACAGATTCTGTTGTTAGGTCCGTTTTTCGCTCGGGTCTTTTCACCGTCTTTACGCAGTTTTCATCATTGAACGTTTGCTTCATTATGTCGAGTATTATAGACTTCTCCGGCACCTTAATGCTCGGATTTATCGAATATAAAGTGCTATCTTCCGATACTTCTTGTTTGATCTCCTTTTTATCGTTTAAATTTATGTCTACTGGATTTACGTTTAAGTTATTGCACAAATTGGAATTAGTATCTATTAGTCTTATATTTTCATTTGGTCCATTTGCGGCAGTTTCTGAAGAGGCAGTCCGTTTTATCAAAGCGGGAATCGCAACGTCACTCTCCGGAGCAAACACCTCCTTCGCGTTGACACATTTCATGTCGACGTCTTTCGAGTCGTTATTTTCGCCCCCGTGTAAAGAAGCCAAATCCGAGAAGCTGCTATCGGATTCGTAACCCGATAGTTTGGAAACGGACATCTCACTACCGCTTAAATCGGAGCACAGCCTTCTACGTTTCTTGTTTTCCGTGTCCAATCCTTCTAGCAGATTCATGTCTTTAAGTTTGCGTTGTTTGCCGTTCCGCAGCATCCTCGCGGGGGAGTCAGATCTGGTGGTGTAAGGGCTGGACCGCCGGCAAACCCCTTCGACGCTCTGCCTGACCTTTGCGTTCCTCTTGGGTCGGGGGCTGACGCTCCTGGGTAAGCTGTTGAACGGGGACAGTTGTGGGATGGGGACGTCCGAGGTTTCCATGGGGCCTATAGGGAATTTTTCTATGCTGTGCCGGCGTTTGGCTAGCGGGGACTTTTTCTTGGTCTTCCTTACGTTTAAATCTAGCGTGTCGATCACCTTCTCGTCGGAGAAGTCCAGTTTACTTAAGGTGTTTTCCAAATTTTCTTTTTTCAATATTTTCTTTTTTAATTGTTCTATCCTCTGCCTTTTTGTTAACTTTTTTGTTTTAATTGTTGTGTCGCTTTTACCAGATTCCGACATTGAATCCTCTACTTCCCTCTTTACGTCTTCACCTTTTATTAAATATGACAGGTCGTTCATCACGTCTTCTAAAGAATCGTTTTCGACTTTGGGCTTCTTAGAAGCTCTGGGTTTTCTAACTTGTTTTGGTAAAGTCGGTATTTCTGCGATTGAAATGTCCGTTACGTCACTCGATACTGAAATATTGTCATCATTCTCCACTTTAATCTTCTTCGGATCTAGTAAATCTACATTTTTCTTGATGGATTTCTTTGGCAATCGTTTTTTTGCTTGTTTCTTAGTCTCTATGTTTTCCTCGATAGGAAAAATGGGCTCCAGTACCGGGGGAGAATCGTCCTTCTCCTTTTTTATTGCAGTTTTCCTCTTCCTGGGTTCTTGCCTGATGACGCTGTTCATGATCTTCTCCTTCTGCTTCGCGGTTAACCGGAAGACCTTCGATATATTTTGATTCAGCTTCACCGCTTTTTTTGATTTTGCTTTCATCTTTATGGCTATAGAGGGTTTCTTCAGGATTTTCTTCGGCGGACTCTTTTTCGCTATTCTTTTGACGATGGACGTGTTCTTTACCTGCCTGCCGACACCCGGTTTCGAGACGCCTTCAGCATTGGGATCATTTTTGGTGGTGAGCCTTTCGGCGGGTACTATCTCCTTTGCTGATGTAGTGGATGCATTTTTTCTATTGAGCCTAGTTGCCATGACATTTGGATGGAGTGTTCAATATCTGAAAAATGAGACACCATATATCACTGAACATTAAAAAAAAATAATGTCTGAAATGCAACAAACTTTTCCCAAACAACGATAAATGGCCTGTTTGTTCTCCTGATTTTAGCTATATTTTTATATTTAAAAACAGTAAAAAAGTATATTATTTTATAATATAAATCAATAGTATGTATAACATCTTTACAAAACTTAAGTATTTTTAAAATATGTTCGACAGGTATATATCATACACTTTGTATATGACGTCCATTTTAAAACAATGTTTTTTTTTAATATACAAGTAAACACAATCAATGTACCTACCTAGTTCTCGGTAAGGCCGTAGCATTGTTCTTTCATTTAATAATTCTCTAAATTTCAATACAAAATGGCTTTTACTAATGTTCTGGAATGAAATTTTGACAGTAAACATACATCAAATTTTTTTAATAAAAATTTTGTATATATTTATATGAAAATAAAATAAAATAAAAACAGAAAATAAAACTTCTTCAGGAACATCCGTTGTAGAACTGAGTACTGATTAGTATGAAGGATTAATTTAGTCCTTTTTAATATTCAATCATTTTTTTCTTTATTTAGAAACGAAAATAAATTTTTGTACTTAATTTTAAAAAGGATTTACTAATTTACCACTTCCCGCTAGAACATTGTTCAAAAAAGTATTAATTTAAAACTTCTATCAGTGCAATCGTTATCATGAAATTAGCATCAAAATTTTTAATTACAAACATTACATTTTACGTTACATTAAAAACGTACATTTTACTGACATATGGAAAAAAATTCTACGCACTTGACTATTTCAACCGTACAGTGTTATTTTCTTTTTATTCTTCTTCAAATATGCTTGATTTTATGATCCTGATGCCATAATTTGATATATCTATATAGGAATTTTTAAAATCGAGTGAAAACCCAATTAAAAATGTTGTATCTGAGGTTGATGAAACAACGACGAAAATAATCACGTAGTTTCAAAATACTTTTCAACCTCAAACATGAATCCAAAAACATAACCCCAAACTCATCATACTTAACCTCAAAGTAATACACTGACTTTTCTAAATCTATGGGTATAATTCCTTGAAAACTATATTTTTGAGCTTATATTTCCTAACTCTAAAGCCATACCTACATCCATAAAAATCTAACCTCAAACCCTTCAAAATCTAACCCCAAACCTTTAACTCATTCAAATTCTAAACATTCGAACTAAAAATTCATAGAATGTATATGTTCCACACCAAAGAATAAAAGTCCTTGGAAACTATTTTCTGGAACTTATATTTTTTATTTTGAAGCGCATAACCTCTATTCTTAAATATCTAACCTGAAATCTGAGCTAGAAAGTCAACCGAAGTATATTTTCCAAACCACTATTCTGGAGCTAATATTTTGTATTTCTGAAGCCTCAAACCTATGCTATGTCTATAAAAACCTAATCTCAAGCCCTTGAAACTTATTCTCTAATCCGCAAAAAAGTGGATATTTAGAGATAGATAAAATTTCATTCAATAAATTATAAAAATTTCAACAATTTCAGCTAAAAACTCAAGACTTTTTGTTTTTTTTTTTAATTTCTGTTTTTTCTGCTTCTAATTTTTATTCAGTTACAAAAATTCATTTTATTTTTAAATACCGAATCTTTGGTGTTGAGGCCGATAGGTTCTCACGCGATTTAAAAAAATCCGGTATAGATATATCGCACCAGGATCATAAAATTAAGCATATTTGAATAAAAAAGAAATTACCACTGTATATATTTCATATTTCCCACTGTGCAACATGTAGAAAGCTATATTTCATTTATCGATTCTAAACATTTACACTAAAAAACGGCACCTAGGCAATATCAATAATATCAATATATCCTTTCAATTCAATTACTTATACATTTCAAAAACAACAATTTTAAAGCAAATCGATATACCTTCACATTTAACATACATTTACGTTTAAAGTATGTCAGTTCAACATATAATATTTATTACATTAGAAAATTGAAAGAATAATGTCTATTATTTATGCTTCTACTAGTTTACTTAAAATTTATTATGGTATTTGCTCTTAAATAGTTAAACTAACAATAACGGAACATCTTGCAGAAATTATTTCTATTTTGAACATCCATTAACGACCGCAAATATTATTTACTCAAATTCAGGAAACATAAGAAATAATAGTCGTTAGCTGTATTCCGTATGAATTCTACCACTCGTTGAAGTTCCCGTTGAAGTAATAGAGCGCAAATTACAGTCACCTTTTTGCATATATGGACGTACATATTTCGTAACAACGCACATTTCCTTTGTATCGTTTCCCTAGAACGTATTCAAATAGTAAGAAGAGAAGTTCATTTTTATTTATTTTTTAATATAAGTACCGATCAGTAAATGAGAAAGTCGTTTCCAATTCTTTGGCAAACGCCAAGTTAATTAATTAGAAGTGTATTTCTAATATAGGTACTTTCAGTAATAGTTAATGTTTGTTTGTTAATATTATTTATTTAAATTTTAATATATCTACAGGGTGAGCCAGTTTTAAGCGAAAGTACTTTAAATTTCGAATGAAAGGTACATCAAGGTGAAATATGGAACTTATTTTTTTTGAAAGCCGTAAGAAAACAATTCTAAGTTTATTTATAAATGTTCATTGATAGGGAAAATTGTAGTAAATTTTATTAAAGATGTTCGTGATTTCAACGACACTGTAGAAGAATAATGAAGCTCCAATATACAAAAAATAAAAAAATCATGATATAACTTTTCAAAATGAGATATACCCTTGAACATCCACGAATGATGACAAATCGCAAAGTTCTCAAAAGACGCAAAATTATCAGACCTCTATATTCAGATAAAAGCAAAATAAAACTTAAAACCAAAATTACAGCGAATAAAATACAATAAAATGAAATATTTATAACGTGAGCTCTAATCTTATCGCTTATTTGATAGTATTATAATCGTTATTCCCTTAATTTAGTTACATAATAATTTATTTAATTAAACTTTAGTTAGAAATGTTTCTACACTAATGTATAAGTATGCTGTATTGTGTAGAAGGGTAAATGTTAAAGAAGGTACCTATCGATTATTCAGTTACAATTTTCCGCAGCATAAGAATGAATCCAAGTCGACGCGCATTCACCAAAACTTTCAAATTCTCGGGCGGCGCATATAAAACTAAACACTTTGTATTTGAGGACCCGATACATAGACATATCAATAAACGATTTTGTGCATTACGCTAGCGATTTCTCTGTACGGATTTTTTAATAAATACAATATTTACTTACTTTTCTGTTTTCAGAAGAGTTGAATTTAATGCGTATGCAATATTAATTTGTCAATACTAGGTTAGCCGTGACCTTTCGAAACAAGTGATCGGCAATATTTTTCATTTTGTTTCGCAAGCGAGCGTTATTTTTCATCTGTTTCGACGTGGCAAACTCAAAATGTTGCACAATATTGCGATAAACGTAAATATTATCTTCAATTCACTAGAAAAACTAAAAACCACTGAAGCAGTTGTTTAAGTAGATATAAAATCGTAAGAATTTTGCATTTAGACATTGCAATTTTGAAAAATTTAAATAGTTCTCTCACAAATAGCAAGGAAAGCAAGTCTTTTAAAAAAAATCATGTTTAAATTACAATGGTTGTGAAATTACTGACCTTATAATGTTGGTGTTGAGTCCGTTAAGAACTTAACCCTTCTTAATGTGGCGTTGATGTCACTTAAGTTCTGAAAATAAAGTTTATATTGAACAATTTGGCCCAAGCAATATGGATTCTTAAGTTTAAAGTGATGTACAAATAGAGCTAAATCATCTATATGTAACGATCAATTACATAAAATCGAAATACGAGATGAAAACTGGTAAAAGAGAGATGTAAAATATATCTTCCAGTGGCCATGTCACAGTCCCGATTTGTTATCACGTTACCGTAACTTATTTGATTCTATAGAAAATGCATTATGTTTCCTCTATTAAGTAAAATCCGTTAATTCTCTTTCGTATTTGAGGAAAATGTTGTTATAATGTTGATCTTGTCTTTCATATTTTGTACTCTTGTACAAAAACGTGTCAATTGTTTGGTAGAAATCAAGCAAATCAACAAATTAAACTTGAAGTCGAATGAAAAATTACCAAAAAGTCCTATAGGGTTTCAATGTGTCATACTAATTAGAAAATTGGTTCTAATTTAAATCACTTCATTATATCAAAGAATCTTACGAAAAAGTTCCCTTGTTCCACGGAAAACATTAACCGCTTCTGAAAAAAACTCAAATTCTTCAATTCTTAATTAAATTAATCGATATTTTGGCAGATTTTAGTTAGCAGTTAAGTAACTGTACAAACCATAATTCTTTTTCAAATAGGTCAATTTTATCCTTGATTAATGATTACACATATGCAAAAATCGCTACCGAAATGTTTGCTTTTAAAAACAATGCATCTTATGACTATAATAAAAAAAATTTCTAAGGATTATGTTTGGGAACCTGCCGATTTAAAAACTACACATTATAATAAACCACCATGGTACTAACACATTCTTTAATACATGATAGTTAAATAATGTTTAAGTTAACGTAAATATTTACTTTGATTACGTCGTTACTGTATAATAATAAAAAAATCAATAAAAATCAGTGTTACAGTCTCGTCTTATTGTTAGTAGCTATTCAGAGTTCTAACAGCAACCAACAAAAGTTGTGTACCCGATTTAATTCACTTTGAAGTGAAAAATATGATTGTACAATTTACTCAAAGTCTTTCTTAACATTTGCTACACTGAGAGAACTGTTTGAAATCAGTTTTAAGTATGGAAATCAAAAACTTCCTTCGGCTACCAAATTTTTACATGTTATATTAAAATATGTCATCGTGTGGAGGGGGTAATTTAACTTGTAACAAACAAACTGTTTTCTCAGTGTGGAGCACAGTTTAATTCAATAAGGAAGTTTCAATGAAACTATTTAGAATTCTTAGATGTCATTAACCAAGAAATGTTCATCAACCATTTCTGTGTGCCCATAAAAATATCCATGAACTGCACATTTCATGTTTCATTATAGTTATGTATCCTTTAGGAAATGAACATTATTTTATAGCCCCGCTTTTGTTTTTATAAACTTTCTAATCAAACTTTTAGATATTTTCAAAGTCCTAGTTCAATCGATCTTGGCAAGAGACATTACATTACCCATAGGTCTAGGGCTTATGCAAATTATAAAATTATAGTAATCTTATCTAGTAATTACACTAAGTACATTGAATTCAAAACCATAGCAAATGCATTTCCAGGTAGAAACGTATAAAATATATTTAATTCCGAGAACATGGATACATTGAACTGAATATTAATATTTAAGAACACTTTTCCGAGTTAAAAATATAATAACTAGCGTCATAAATTTCTCCTTTTGATCTATTTATTGTAGACGCCACACCAATATTTCTTGCGCTCGCTAGAAAGATTAGGAAGTAAATGTTTAACCTTGAAAAATATAGGATTTAAGAAAATATTAAATATTAAAATTAAAATCGAGGTCAATATTAAAAGTTACCAATTATCTTAATAAAAAATTGCTCACGACCATACCGTGAGCTTTTGGCTTTCTTTTCATATTTCTTCAAATTGCACATAAAAACAAACAATATTTTGTTTTGTCTACATTTTAATTTTAAATCCTTGTTATTTTATTTAGTTCTTCCCTATACAAAACACTTAATTATTATATAACTTCTCAAAAGGTTGGATAACCTTTTAATCTCTAATTCTTAAAACAATATTCAGAAAATGTATTCTCTTAGCTTTCAAAAGTTTGAAAGATTTTTATTTTTTTCTTCAATTTGCGCCTGCGGACTTTCATTTCTAAGACAGAATTTACGGTTCGGTATCATCTATAGCGCAGAAACACGATTTTCTACCTGGTTATGTCATATCGCCATATGCTGACGCGTCCAGCTGCACCCCATTACGAGATTTTACAGTTTCAGTAACATTAACCTAAAAAAATGATTTCCGTGAGCCTGAAAAGCTCGAAAAACAAAGAAACCAGTTTATTTCAACATAATATATTTTTTTTTAAGTTTGGAATATTTTACAATGAACGAACATCACTAATATACCTACAATAAATGACTTACATACTACTAGGCATTGTTTTGTGTTGTTTTACGGTTAGTCAACGATCCTTGAAAGAGGTTTAAATGTTTCTATTTGTCTTCAGGATAAACCAGTCTTTGATATATTAAATTCAACCTTGTTATTGCCTCTCCCTTACCGATCTTTTCAAATTTGATTGATAATAAAGGAGCAACTGACAACATTTGCAGCAAAGCAACTGGTAGATCTTATAGGGCTTATTTCGCGAAAAACTACCTGATAAATTATACGAAAATAAATGTAATGTATAGTTTGCCACTGGAACAAATATACTTTACTTGAATGGGACAAAAGCTTCTTGATACTGCAATACGACTACCTTACGGGTAACAAACTGTAATTTATGATTTGGAACGGATATTTGTTAATTATTCTATTAATTAACTCACCAGTATTTGATTTGAGTGCACGTTGGGAAATTTTTTGTGTACACTGACGTGGAACATGGTACAGGATATGCTGTGAAATCAATTTTGAATTCAAGTATTTCGTAGAAATATGCAGTAAGTACCAACGTACAAATTCTTCCTAGTCCTATCCTAAAACTTGTTCTGTTTCCTACGATAGCAACTTGTCTAAAGTGAAATATGTAGTGACAACTACAGCTGAAGTAAATGTCACTAAAATTGACATAAACTGCGATATCTCTGTGTAAGTAGGCCATGGCTTTGTTACGCAGAAACAAACGAAATGTGTGCAAAAACTCAATTGGATTTAAAATTAGGGAACAATTTCTGTCAAAAAATTGGGGGCATTCTTCTGTTCAATATATGATCCTCCAAAAGTTGGAGCCAGTCAATTGTAGAAAAGGGTGAAGATATAGGCTTCAAAATATTTCGCAACGGTATGTAGTGCTAGAGGATTGGCTTAAGACTGGCGTTTTATATACAAGAAATCGCACATTTCTGGTATCGAAAAACATTATTTGACAAGATTTTTCAGAAAAAAAATAAATTTGTATGAATTAATACCTTTACAATATAGTAAAGAGTTTTTTACTATTTGGATCGATTTACCTCTACTCGAAAGTCGACGCTTACTGAGATACAAGTCTTTAAATCCACGAAACTACAATCAAAGGGTTATATCTCAGTAGGCGTCGACTTTTGAATGGAGGTCACTTGATCTGCATCGTAGTGTTTAAAAAAGGTGTAAACTTAACAAATCAAAATGCAATTCACTTTCCTTTAATTAAAATTATGCATTTCATAATATTCTTAGCGGTTTCTATGTTTCAGATAAAAAAATAAGTTATACATGTTTGAAAAACTGAAAACTGAAGCGCTACTGTCATATTTTTTTCAGAACTGTGGAAAAAGCTTACAGCAACTGTCGCTGCTGTGGCCGTCATCCCAAATGATTAAAAAAATAATTAGCAACAGTCAAAGGAACCATAAACATAAAATAAAATTAATTGACGCATTAATTGAAATTATTCCGGACACGATCATCCGAGTACAGCGTAAATTTGCTTAGAGAGCATTGTACTACCTAGGTCCGTAAGTATATTATCGAAATAGTCTAAATATAGCGGTAGAAGATTTACGTATCATATAACATCTGTATTCAAAATGCATCAGCTTGCATAACCATTAAGTGTTTCATTTGTAATTAATTCATTTGTTATTGACTATAACCAGTTCCTTAATTATTCTGAAGTTATAAAGTTCAAAATAGAGATATGCACTGCTATAATAGATCAATTGATTTATTTATGGAATACAGGGTAATGGTATTCCTGAAATTGCGGCAATGGAAACTTACGACATGGATTTCTGTAGCATTTTTCAGCTGGTTGGTACCTCGTCCATTTAGATTTCTTGGATTGTTCAGTCCCAACTCGAAATTTGATATAATTTGTTTCCTATGTAGAGATATTGACAATTTGTTTTTTCGAAAAAAAAACTAGCCAATCTTAAAAACAGCGAACTTTTAGTAGAACAAAATATCTGTTCAGTTTGAACACTACTTATCTTGGTAAGTATTATATCATTGTCTTACTAAAAGTACGATTTCTTGTCTACAAAACGCTAGCTTTCAGGAATACATCAGAGTATTTAGGGATAGTGATGCGAGCTTGAAAACGTTCTTATTCGTTTTCCAGAACATTAGCGAATGTGGGAGATTATTTTCTAGATACGGGAAAGATAATTTTCCAAAATTACAGAGAACTTTCTTCAAAATTCTAAAGAATATTCTGCACAAATTTTTAGTCCTTTTTGAGTTCATAATCAACATACATATTTTATTTTAAAGAAATACATTTGTTTTCAATATATTTCTGTAACATCACATACTGTTAAGTACCCAACAGAAAAAAAAAATCTTACAAACTCAATGTCACGTAATTTTAATACTCAAATCTGAAACCACAAAAATAATGAACAGAAAATATTTCTTTGACTAAAATTTTTGTCAATTTCTTGAAATAATTTAGAATATTATACCTGTTTCATTAATTACAATAGTTTGGTTAATGAAATGGTTCAAAGTTGACTGAAAATAGTCTTCATAGATATATTCAGTGTTTCAGAAAGACTCCCGTAAATACAGGGGGGTGACAGTACGAAAAAAAAATAAGAATTTTTTGTCTTATGAACTATATGTCTATCTCTTCTTGTTTTCGAGATACAGAGCGACAAAATAAATTTTTTTAAATAGAATTTTTACGAAAATTTCCAAACGGTGCGAAATATTTTTATGAAATTTGGTATTCTGGGGTTTTTAATGATGCCAAATACGCTGGTCTATTTTTTGCATATTTCATAGAGGGCGCTAGTTATGCCACATTCCTACCTATTACATTTTAAGTTCTAATTTTTTTAAGGTTAGGTTTTTACCATTCGGGCTCCAATTTTTACTGTACAATTTTATTTTCTAAAAATAATGTACTCTTGTTACAACTTCCTAATGTGGACGGTTTTCGAGAAAAAATGCTTTTAATTGAACTCTTACAATATTACAGTGTACAAAATAAGTGACTTTTCTCAAAGTAGGCTTATGTCAAAAACTTATTGATGGATGTCTCACATACAACGCATACATTCTTAGTAATATTTTAAACTCTAATTAATTTTATATCAAAAATTTAGTTACTGTAATTAGTCATTACTAAATACAGTCACTAAAAATCACTAACATTTTTTGATATAAAGTTAATTAGAGTTTAAAATATTACTGAGAATGTATGTGTTGTTTATGAGACATTCATCAATAAGTTTTGACATAAGCCTACTTTGAGAAAAGGCACTTATTTTATACATACACTGTAATATTGTAAGAGTTCAATTAAAAGCATTTTTTCTCGAAAACCGTCCACATTAGGAAGTTCTAACAAGAGTACATTATTTTTAGAAAATAAAATTGTACATTATAAATTTTAGCGCGAATGGTAAAAATCCTAACCTTAAAAAAATTAGAACTTAAAATGTAATAGGAATGTGGCATAACTAGCGCCCTCTATGAAATATCCAAAAAAATAATTAGACCAGCGTATTTGGCATCATTAAAAACCCCGGAATACCAAATTTCATAGAAATATTTCGCACCGTTTGGAAATGTTCATAAAAATTCTATTTAAAAATTTTTATTTTGTCTGTATCTCGAAAACAAGAGGAGACATACTATCACCCTCTGTATTTACGGGAGGTCTTTCTGAAACACCCTGTATATCTTTTGATTTTAGGATTGTTGTCTGGCTTATTTTCGATTTATCGTTCGTTCTTAGGAATATATCTCAAAAATAAATTCTCGAGAATTTTGCATTACGGATGAAACGCTCTTCAGTAAACAAATGTTTTGTTGTTAAAATAAGTCAGTTTTGTTGACAGGGTACGTCGTATCAACAACTCTAGAATAAGGATATAACTCCAGGGGTGAAGATTTGGGAAAAATTGGCAGAACATGCTCTGTTCTTTATTAACAGATAATTTTGAACTAATTATTAATAAAGATTGTATAAAAATAGTAGAGCTTGTAAATAAATAAAGTAGGAAGGACAAAAAAGTATTTGCTACAAAATATTTCAAAGAAAAAAAAACACCACGAAGAATTTGTCGAAATAATTTGAAAATCGGTAATACAGAATGAAAACAGAGATTATTCGAATATACAATAATTTGTAATGTGTTGCAGTGTAATAATGAAAAATTACCTATTTCTGGCATAATTTGTTTAACATTTATTCTTCCTTTCAGTGTGGTACAAATATAATTTACGTTTTATGTTCTGAAATAACAAATACAATTTTCTGTTCCACAACTTTCATGAAAACTCACTATTTATGAATTGTTACGTTTTAATTGTACAAATTGTTATATTTAACAATTAGTTTTGAAAGCTCGTACATCTATTTGGTCAAATAAAGTGATTAAAATTTAATTTCAGCAAGTAAAATTATTTATTAGCCGCCATATTTAAAATTCAATAGCAATACTTAACTTTAAAATTTTACAGTTTCATCGTGAGCGATTAGAGATATCTGAGAAAAATAACTTCAAGGGGTTTACCATCCTCTTGGGAAGTATCTCCTTAAGTATATTCATATAAAATTTTCCCTTATCTCTAGTCATAGAATACGTTGGTAAAACATAAGAACAATCATTTTCACAGCAAGCTCATAGGGTATAAGGTGTACATCTGGTTGCCTGACATCCCTTAGGATGAAATAAAGCAATTTTGTTTGTACCGAAAAATGTAATGAAGCTTCCCCAATTTTACACATAAGGAAATGTATTGAGTGAATTTTTTACAATTACTGATTTTTAAGTTCTTTAAGCAACAGATTAGTTTATCATTAAGGCCCAAACAGGATTTTCAATTTACCGAGTTTTTCGATAGCCAAGCCATTTTTCGAAAGTTACGCTAAAATAGGTTAATAAAATATACATATTATTTCATTTTGCTACAGATTGAAGTTCAGTGATAAAGTTTTTATACGTACTGCCAAACACCAATATGAAATTAGTTTCCAAAAAAAGCTCTATCATTAATATATCAATTCCCTTATCTGAACGAGTGTAGATAGAGATAGTTACTATTCTTTAGGTATATGTGTCAATTCATGATAATCAAAACGTCAATTTAATTATAGGCAATAGCGAAAATTCTGTAAAAACAGTTTAGACTGTCCTGCTCATACCATGAACTTATGATGTTTAACCGTATAATAAAGCATCTTATCTTAAGAATTGTGGCAGCAACACAGGACAAATCAGGACAGTCTTTGGGGGTGGTGAATATACAGGGGAATTCATGACATTTTTTTATTTACTTACCTGTGGGAATTTCCCCTGCAAAAACAGGATAACCTTTTAACATTTTTAGTTGCCTTCTAGATGTACTTCCTGAAAAAATAGGCTTAACTATCATCACTGAAAACCCCTGTAACTCAAGTTCATCTATTTACAATGGAGAATAATTTTTTTTAATAAAGATTTAAACTCAAGTTTCTGTTACAGCTTAAAAATCGCGGAAGCTTTGGCAATGCCTGTAGATGAAAAACGAGTCTATTAGTGACCCTGCTGATTACGACTAGTAAACAATAATGTCTGCATATAAATTATCTACATTATTTTAAACAGGATGTAATATTTTCGCAATTTTAGGCATGGAAACAGAACAATTATCAGTGTAGTAACTGGATGATGTTTCATATTCAGGCATTTCCAACGCCTTCTAGATTTTGAAACTAAATACAAACTTAAAAAATGTATTGCATTATAAATTGACGAAATTCGAGATATACATATTTAGGATTTTGGGAGACTGCAAAGCCAGATCATAGCTACTAATTCAGCTAGTACATCTGGAAGGCTATACTGTAACGTATTAAAAAGTTAAGAGGAATGTCCTGTTTTATGGTGGTCCACAGCAATATTTTTTTAATATTTTCAAAACACGTATTTTAATGTTTTGGAAGTAGAAGTACTGCATAAGTTTACATTTCAGTTTTTCCGAAAATTTTAAAACGTTGATACCAACAAACATAATAAATTTGTTTAGAAAAAGTGACAACTATTTCAATTCCGAAATACCTAGTTAAAGTTGATATGGAATGGAAAAAATACCGAGTTGTTCTACCATTTAACACTCGCAATAAATTCCTGCTCACAAATATTTAACTAGATACTCCTGTTTTATTTGCATCCGGTGTGAGAATGCCTACACGCTGTAAAATATGTAATGCATAAATAATTGTAAACTTATAACCTTTAGTAATATAAATTCAATAATTTCTTAACCCTATTCTGTGCGGTATTATATAATATTTCAGAGCAAGAACTGCATTGAACAATTATTACAGTTCGTGGGCCTGGCATAGCGTTACACCAGCGGAGTTATTTATTTTATGATCAGCGCCCCCTACTCAGGCAGGATGTGGCCCCCCTCTTAGTCCGGGGGCTCCTTTGCTACGGCCGGAGTGCCGTCACCTAGCCTAGCACAACCGCCTTTGCGAGGCCGAGACGTTCTATATGCCCGGTTTGTATAATGAAATGATACCGTACGCGAGCTCCAAGCAATTTGACAGCAACTCTCACGGAGAGATTTTGCTTACTTTTCACAATTATCTACAAATAAAACCACACTATCTACAACTATTGTACGGCCCTACGGCGTGCCGCACTTCTACAGCCTACTATTTGCATGCATCAACTTTTATCAACTTTAAAAAACGTGAAAAACCATAAACAAAGCTAATGACCTGTTAGACAATTTCCTCTTAAAAGAGAACTTCAAAACACACATTTCACCATAAGTTCCTCCTTTTCCGCGGGTTTTGCCGCATATTTAACACCGGCTTGGACGAACACAAACAAAAATCGAAGTATATTCACGGTTATCTTGACTTTTAGGGGTAAATAACTACAAAAACAAATGAAGGGTTTCTTACCTTACCCTGATTGTGTGTCACAACGCCACCTATGCTATATGCGTCGTCGCTGTTTCACCAAAAGCACGTATTCCATCAACGATAACGAGCCCCTCCGATCGCGTCCGAACACTAAACGATGCACATGTTTGTGATAGAACTGACTAATAAAATTATCTAAAATTGTAATAAATAAGCGAAATATAGTTAATTTTCAGGCAGATTTTATGAATTTCAGTATCAATATTATGGAATCGGAAAAAATGTTCGGTTTATAACCAGCGTGTACTCGAGTAAAATCGAAAAACTACTTCGAAAATGAGCACTGTGTGACGAAACTTTTAGAATTATTTTAACTTGTCATGTTGTTGATAGGGACGTGGTTCTTTCGCCAGGAATTTTTGAGCTAGTTCAAATTGTCGCCGCTAGTCGGCTTGGCACAACGCCGTCTTTTTTTATAATAATTAATTTTCCAGCCATCCAGCCTTATTTACAGCCTCAGTTCAAGGTCCGATGTTCTTCTTTATTATTGCTAGTACTTTATCACGAATTAATCGCGATGCATTTCAGAATTCTTGCCTTCCATGATGTTAAATATACCTACATAAATATTATTTACAGATATGAGGTACATAATGCGGTGGTGGGGCGTATTATTCATTGAAATTAGGAATGTTACGTGGCGTAAGAAAATGACGTACTATCCACCTTTGCAGTTGCTGGCTGCTAGAAAGTTTTTGGTTCAGAAACTTCTTGTACAAAACCGAAGGAAATAAAAGATTTTCGTTGTATAGGCTGTATTTTTATTCTGAAATCGGTGTTTTGATTGTAAAATAATTACGTACCTAACACAAGAGTCTTTTCATATAGATTTTAGAAAGTAAAATTATTAATAAACGTCATGACACGGTTTGTAGCATCCCGGGAGCTGTGCAACTCGCACTGAATACAAAATGAACGTGTCGATCGTCATCCTCTATTTAGTAACAAATATTTATTTAGTCTTTCGTCCTTTCACTATCCTAGAATCATGTTCTATCAGAAAAGGTTCACATTTTTACATATTTACCCACATTTTGTAAAAGTTTCATAAAAGAACAGTTGTCACTGATATTGTATAGGTACCTTACCTATTTATTTCATTTTGTAGCTGTGATTAAGTAGTAGGTTTTTACTATAGATACCCATTTCTAAAAATACACATACCCTTCGAGATATGCCGGTTTTAAAATAAAACTGGCTCAATATATTCTTTAAATCTTTAGTAGTTTAACATTTATTCAAGAACTATGTTATCTAGTAAATTTTTCAAGCAGTATCACCATAAATTATCTAATAAGGTCAACTTTATAATACAAAGTTAATAAAATTATTTAAAAATGTTACTTATAGTTGAAAATTTAAATCTAGTGACCTAATCTACGAGTTTTGTATGAACCAACTTTCTAACTTACAATTTCCCAGATTTCCATAGTGTCTGTTATTAAGCGAGTCACTGCATATTTCGAAATATTGTTTATATAAAACATACTACTATAAATGCCACAAATATATTAATCACCATCAAGCTTTTCATATTTACTTAACTTTGAAGGATATTAAATAAAATCTAAAAATTTTCCCAAAATCCTCATCTGGTGGTCACATAGGTACTGTTTGGCACCAATATCTGGTAGTGTATAAAAGTAGCTTCTTCAGAATAAGCTATTAATGATACCTATACCTAAAAAACTTCACTGTGGACTATAGCCTGTTTTTTATTTAAATTAGCTTAGTATATTTCAGAGTTAAATAACAGTAAAAGCCTATGTAGGTATAAAACGTATAATAAAAAGAGACTTTTAAAGTTTCTTGCGTTTTTACATTGTTATATTGTCAGCACTGAATTGTTGTACCCAGCTAGTCAAAATGTTTCTAAATTCATAGTATCTTATGCTTTTTATTTGTACTTCCAGTAACCCAAAGGCAATCTGCTACATTTTCTTTAATTTACGTCAAATTTATGTGTTTTCACTATTCTTCCAATCTGCAATACCTAGAAATGCAAAAAACCCGTTTAGAGTCAACAGGCGTCAAGGTCTTGGATAACCGTAGTGTGCTTTGAGCGTTAGATTTAGAGCCGCCCTCCTCTTCTATTGTTGTTGGGTGGGTGCGAGTCGTGTGTCGGTTTTGTACGGTTTTTTCGTAATTTTTTAAATTTATCGTGAATTAATTAACGTGTCGGAGTGTTCACATCATTAATAAAATCAGTGTTTAACGGTTGAGGTAAAATTATGCGAACTGAAAGGGACATAAAAGTGTAGTGTTCCTGCAATTCCTCGAGAAGCAACAGGTCCTAACAGCAACTGGAAACTTGGAAAAAGCGAAGCAGACTTTTTTGATGAGTAAAACATCTAGTTAGCGGAACCATGAGCATGTTCAAAACCTTATAGAAAAAAATTTTCGACACCTGGCAAAGACTTAATAAAACTTGTTTTACTCCAATATTCAACTCGTTCAAGAAATTGACCAGTTTATATTGATATTCGTCAATAAATTGGATAAAAAAGTATTCTAATTTATCGCTCATTTTGGTAATTTTTAATGATTTAAAATTATTCGAAATACTAACAGTTGCATTTTACAAATTTGACATCTGTTTTTGCTTTAAATATTAAAAAAATAGTTACGTATACGTGTTTGTTACTATAGTTTCTGGTGTGATATTATTATTTTTTTTTATTCTAAAATACTGTAGCTTTGAATTTAACTATTACCTGCCTAATAATAGAAAAACGTAAATGTAAAACAGATTTTAATTTTTTTTTGTACTGTAGGGTTCTTCTGACAATATGTAGTGTATCTATATAATGAGAACTAGGTATAATATCACCCTTACGTTTTGAGTTAACAACTCGAGAAAAACACGCAAATTAAATTAATTTTTGATAATTACATAACATTTTTTTTATTTTATTGTCTATTTTAATTTTGATCTAAATTTAGGTAGATATATGATGAAGAAGACAAGAATATCTATATGTGTATTATTTTATCATAAAATAGTATTTAATGTCTAAAATAGTTCATTACTCTCTTTTTTTTACCGTTTTAATATGAGTTGTAATTATCTAATTATAATATCAAACATATTATTTCCATTTTACATAGGAACCTACATATTTATGAGATAAAGGATATAAATATTATGAAAATTAAATTCACATCAAAGAATATTTTTAATTTTGAACACGTTGACGACTTTTTTCAGCCCCGTATCTATATTATCATAGTATTAAGCAAAAACCTTTAGTTACTGATGTTTCGAAGTTATAAAATACATTTTAATTAAAAGACGATCCCGAACTGTAAACTTACTGTCGACGAAATTAGATTTAATCTTTCTGAGCTTATCTATATCTCTTGAGTTTGAGGAGATAACGAAGTGAATAACCGAACCGAACGATTTCATTTCGACTGTAAAATGAATATTAGACATAGAACGATAGGAATATGTTTTTGAATTATATTATGTGGCAAAGTCCTTAAAACCACGGGTCAAATTTTACGATTTTAACGTGATTTTTTTTCCACGTTTATGATTTTTGTTGGCATGATAATACGACAAAGGAGTTTGGTCTCTAAAATAATTTTTAACTATACAAATTGTAAGCTTAGTTGAGGAATAATCCGCTCATCCAAATTTTGCCCACTAATTGCTATTTTACGTCTAACGTCTTGAATTTCTGTTAATGCATTAGTAATGCTCATAATGCCGTGATAATTCCCTCATAATGCCCTGGAATACCTGAGCATTGCCTAGAAATATCTAATAATGTTTAATAATGCCCAGTACTACCTGGGTCTTACATTACATTGCGTTTCGACTTACGTCTTAATTTGTACCCTTTAACATGCAACCCTCTGTATATATTTGCTAGTTTTTACTAAAAAAATATACATTAATTCCATACCTTTGGAGAATTTTTTTGTGCGCCATATATACACATAAATGGCATAATATGCATTTCTACAGAATTTTCCTTAGAAAAAGGCATTGTTTAAAATGTTATTTGATATAAGGAGGTTCACATATTTACATACATCATGTTGGAAAGTGACTATATTGTTTCAATGTAGGTGATTTGAATTGTCAAAATTTCAAGTACCATACCTACAGTTTCTGGTAATAAATATGTATTATTAAAGTATGCAAGTTCAAATATTTTAGTAATTTTTGGAAATGTTCAGTATTTTTTATGTTGTGATGATTATGATTCCGTCAGAAAGGATAACAAAAAGTTAAACATCATTTTTCATGTTCAGGAATAGTTTTAATTTTATATTTCAAATGTCTTTACACACAATTATAACTTTTTCCCCTTTGAAACCAACACATAGAGTCCTTAAGATGTAATGAAAATGACAAAACATCGGCAAAGTGTAATAGTGTTTTTTTATAGTTTCTGATATAATCCTGAACAAAAAAGATGACACTAAATATTTAAAGAAAAAAAATCCTCCGTTTTTTTATTTTAAGCCAACAATTTGCTTGAATCATGAAATAGAATGATCATAGAGAATGATTTTAGAGATATTTTAAGACAGATTTGTAAAAAAATTGTGTAACCCCCTGAATATAGGTACATTATCCAGTATTCTGATGAGTATCGCGCCATAACTTACTGTTAAAATGAGTCCTTTTTAGTGTGATGCTTATAAATGATACACTCAAAAGTATATCAACCTTTGTTGTTTCCGATGCGACACCTAGGTATCTAAAAGACCTTGAGTATAAGCACTTTGTGGAGCTTGAACTATATTAATATGTTTGTCGGTGGAAACTGATGGAATATCTTATTCGAAACAAAGGATAGTAAAAATTATATAAATATTTTAGTAAAGAACTCGATATTTTTGTTATATTCTTTGGTTTTAGTGACATTTTTCAATTTCTCAAGTACGTTTCTGGTGAAATTAAAAACAATCACACATTTGGTGATGTCCTTACTTAGTTAAAATAAATAATATTCTGATTTCAAGCTGATATATGTAAAAAAAATATCTTGGAAAACAATTTTATAAATTTATTTAGTGTTTTGAAAATTTATTTTGGTTTGTTTTTATAAGTAATGGAGACTCAGTCAATGAAAGATTGAGGCGCATTTTTAAAAATCTTGTAACTCAAATTGTTGAACAAATTAGTATATTTCATGTTCTGAAAGTTGCTGCTGAATCTTTTCGTTTTCGTGATACAGGTTGTAAGGGTGTTCAAAATCGATGGAAAGGTACCTATAGTTTACTTCAAGCTGTAAATGTAGCTGTAAGGAACCATGTAGATTATAATTTATTTTATTTATATTA